ATCTCATTCTCCTCTTGGTTTCAGTTTCAATGTCACCTTCACAGGGACACCTACCCCATCACTCAAGCCACAGCTGGCTCACTGTTCTCACTGTTCTGTATGCTCATCACCTTGCCCTTTACTGAATCATAGTAGGCATGGTGGGGAGTGGAGTTATAAGGGGTCAAATGCCTAGGTTCTGGAGCCAGACTGGTTTCTAGTTCTGCCTTTGATACTAGCTGTGTAACCTTGGGCAAAATACTTAACCTTTCTGGATGTGACTCTGATAAAACCTAGCATATAAAGCCATTGAGAGAATTAAATGAAGTAGGTCATTTGTCACTTAGAACTTGTTTGGCATTCTCTAAATGTTAGTCTTTATTTTCTTTTTTAAAATATTTTATTTATTTATTCATGAGAGGCACACAGAGAGAGGCAGAGACATAGGCAGAGAGAGAAGCAGGCTCCTCACAGGGAGCCCAACCTGGGACTCGATCCTGAACCTTGGGATCACGCCCTGAGCCCAAGGCAGGTGCTCAACCACTGAGCCACCCAAGTGTCCCAGCCTTTATTTTCATGGTTACAAATTAAACACGTAGATTAAAAAGAAGCATGCTGGGGTGCCTGGATGGCTCAGTGGTTGAGCATCTGCCTTTGGCTCAGATCATGGTCCTGGGATCTTGGGATGGAGTCCCACATGGGGCTCCCTACAGGAAGCCTCCTTTTCCTTCTGCCTATGTCTCTGCCTCTCTCTCTGTGTCTCTCATGAATAAATAAATAATAAAATAAAAAGAAGCATGCTTCATCCATGACGTATCCTTAGCACCTAGCACAGTACTTACTGCATTGTAGGACTTTAAGAAATATTTGTGGGGCAGCCCGGGTGGCTCAGCAGTTTAGTGCCGCCTTCAGCCCAGGGCCTGATCTTGGAGACCCTGGATCGAGTCCCACATTGGGCTCCCTGCATGGAGCCTGCTTCTCCCTCTGCCTGTGTCTCTGCCTCTCTCTCTGTGTGTGTGTGTGTCTCTTATGAATAAATAAATAAAATCTTTTAAAAAAATATTTGTGAATGGATGAATGAATGAATAAATAATGTCAAGTGTATCCTCCAGGATATCAGAGGAAAGAAAGCCTAAATTTTGGAGAGGAGATGGCCAACTCAAATCAATTGGTAATGACAGCCTGTAGTCCAGTGTGGAGAAAATGATTTTGAAGTTGCATCTGGGGTCACAGTAGACTGATCATTTAATCATGTCTGCCAAGGCCCTGGAAAAAACCCCTACGAAACAAGCGCTAAGGATTTGACATCACTACTATACAGAATGCTCACTATCCTGTTGGAAACAGTCCAGAATCATGAAATAACCACAGTTTGCCTCCTTTCTCTATCTTCTTTCTTTCTTTCTTTCTTTCTTTCTTTCTTTCTTTCTTTCTTTCTTTCTTTTTAAAGATTTTATTTATTTATTCATGAGAGACACAGAGAGGCAGAGACACAGGCAGAGGGAGAAGCAGGCTCCATGTAGGGAGCCTGATGTGGGACTCCATCCTGGTACCCCGGGATCATGCCCTGAGCTGAAGGCAGACGCTCAACCACTGAGCCACCTAGGTGTCCCTGTCTCTTTTCTCCCTATTGCCTCCTCACTCTCTGACCTTCCATCTTTCCTCTGGGTCCAGAGGGCTCTGTGTTGCATTGCACAGGCCCTCTGAAGCGTTGGGTCTCTTTCTTTGGGCTGGTCTCTGCACCTGCCTCCATCAGCATTATTTCAGTTGTCTCACTCCTGCCCTGAGAGGCAACAAAAATGAGTTGAACCAATCCACTAATATTCTAAAATGACTGGACTTGACTTTGCGTTCTCCACCTCAGGATCACCTCCAGTTAAATTTAGCCTGGGGGTGTGGTGTGTGTGCATGTTTGTGGTATACAGCTGGGTAATGAATCAAATGCCAAGGGGACCAAGGATGCCTAGTGAAAGTGGCCAGAGTGAGGGCATATGCAGCCCCCATGCCTGCCATGCTAGCACGTGAATCCTGTGCTGCCACAGCCTCCAACTTTTTAAGAGAGTCCAGAAATCTGGATTTTTACATAAAATCTCCTTAGTTTAAAATGTTTGCAACCAGGAATGCCTGGGTAGCTCAGTTGGTTAAGCACCCAACTCTTGATGTCAGGTCAGGTCGTGCTCTCAGAGTCTTGAGATCAAGCCTTGCCTGGGTTCTGTGCCCAGAGAGGAGTCTGTTGAAAATTCTCTCTCCCGAGGATCCCTGGGTGGCTCAGTGGTTTGGCACCTGCCTTGGGCCCAGGGCGTGATCCTGGAGTCCCAGGATTGAGTCCCACGTTGGGCTCCCTGCATGGAGCCTGCTCCTCCCTCTGTGTATGTCTCTGCCTCTCTCTTTCTCTGTCTCTCATGAATAAACAAAATCTTTAAAAAATAAAATAAAATTCTCTCTCCCTCTCCCTCTGCCCTGCCTCCACTCACTCACTAGTGTGCATGGTCTCTTACTCTCAAAAAACAAACAAAAATTTGCAATGAAATAAAGTTTTGAGAAAGCAGTGGGCATACTAAAGAACATGGTGTTGGGCTGTCTTGGCCCACTTGCAATCCCCACCTAGGCCCCAACTAACCTTTCCAATCCCTCTGCAATGGCCTGGTCCTTCAGAGTCCAACGTTAGGTGACCTCCCTTCATGACACCACCCCAATCCCTTCGTTGTAGAACACCCTGGGGGGCCCTCATGGTAATCACCATCCTGAGATCTCTCTGTGCTCCTGACAGGTAGGGCATTACCCAGTTCATTCTCCCAGCGCCCCCCGCCCCTCCCCCGGGGGTGAAGTATTTGCACATTCAGGGATGAGGGCGACGCTGAGATCTTGCTGGGGTCGTAAAGCCAAGGGGTTTCGGGTTGGAGCTGAGATTCCAACCCCCTGAGTCTGATCTCTACCTGGAGCGGCACTGCCCCCTTAAACGCCTCAGCAGCAGGAGCCGATTCGACTCTGGATTCAGGGCGGACTTCCGCGCCCGAGAGCCGCGCGCCTCCGGGCGCTCCTCTTCCCGCCCCTGGGGCCGCAGGCGCTCGCTCCCGTTCCGGGTTTTGCCGCTCACCACCCTTCTCGGGAGGGAATCCGCTTCCGCGTTTTGCGGGGCGCCGGGCGTGGAGGCGGTAACGCGCACGCGCGCAGGGATTCGGCCCGGGCCGAGCGCGCGGCCCGGCGATTGCGGGTGAGGGAAGGGCCGGCCCCGGCGGGGTGGCGGGTCCGGCGGGTCCGGCGGGTCGCGGCCCGGCCCCGGGCGAGCGGGAGTGTGGGCGAGGGCTTCAGGGCTCCCGGGGCATGCGGGGGCTGGGGGCTAGAGCCCGGGGCCCGGCGGCGGGGGGCAGAGGCGGGCCGCCGTGAGGCGGGCGCCCGGCCGGGCCCGGGCCCGTGACGCGGGCGGGAGGCGGGTGCGAGGCGGCTCCTCCTCGTCGCGAACTCTCGGTGACCTTGGCCGAGTCACTTCTGTGCCCCGAGCTGGCGCCTCCGTCCGTGAAGTGCGAATTATGAGCCCCGCCCGCTAGATGGGGCGCTTGGAGGCTCGGTGGCGAGACCCCGAGGGGTACGTGGAGCGCCGGGCGGTTTGCCGCGGACGATCCACCCGGGGCGGGGGCAGGGCGCCTCCTGGCTTCGCGGTTTTGCTGCGTGCCTGGGGCAGGAGCGCTCGTTTGCGTGTTTTAGGGACTATTACAAGGTAGTCGCAAAACTTTTAACCTAAGAAAGAGGCCCAGGCCCTGCTGTGGGTGGGGTGCTCCCTCGGGCGCGGAGATGGCTCCACGAAGGTGTCGGGATGGGCCGAAGCAGCGGAGCGGGGGAGACCCTCCGTCTTGGGGGAATTAATGTCTGTGATTCCCGTGGTTTGCCCAAGCCCTGCCCGCCCGCCCGCCCCTCCACCCGCGTGCCCAAGAGTTTGTGGTGCTGGCCAAGCAAGTTCAGCATGTGTCCTTGTGAGGCCTTTGTGAACAGTGGAGTCAGCGGGCTCCCCGTAAACGCTGAATTTTGTAGTGAATATGGAGGATCCTAGGGCGCCCATAGTTTTTTTTTTGGGGGGGGGTGGGATCTCGGGAGCCCTTCCTATGATGGGCAAGGGTCTGCGGTGTAGTGGATTACTGAGTTACGAATGATAGAAAGTCACAAAAGTGAGAAGCATGCATATTCGATACTCTGGGTTGGGAGAGATTTAGGATCTTTCAATTGACTTAAACCGAAACTTTTTCGCTGCAGGTGACTAGCACGCAGATACCCATTCTCTGACTTGCTGGCCCTCTACTGACATGGCCCACCGCGGTGGGGAGAGGGACTTCCAGACTTCAGCGCGGCGCATGGGCACCTCGCTGCTCTTTCAGCTTTCAGTGCACGAGCGGGAGCTGGACCTGGTTTTTCTGGATCATAGCTATGCCAAGCCATGGAGTGCCCACCCAGATGCCAGTAGTGCCCGCCCCACGCGCATGCTCTTTGTTACTCCCCGGAGGCAGCACGAAAGTACCATGTGAGTTTGGGCTTCTCTGTCCCAAGGGCTGCCCTTGCCCTAACTGGACAGTCACCAGATGGTGGGGATTAGAGAGGATTTTATTGTGGGCGATTGTATGGGGGCCTTGGATGTTCACTTCAGGTATCCCGCCTCTAATGTAGACATCTGCATTCAAGACCTCTAACAAGTTGGGAAAGCAAACAACGTATCCCCATAGTTAATAGGACTTGTATGGAAAGAGGATTATTTAGCTGGCGAAGAAAAAGACTGAAGAATTGAGTTTTAAAAATCGCCGCTCATGATTAGACTCATTTCCTTTAGTCCAGTGTTCTGGCTTGCTCCAACGCTGGCAACAATGACTTTTTTAAGGGAATGCGATTTCTTTTTCCTGGCTTCACCCAGCAAAGTTTAGGAGCTTTTCCAAGACCTTGCTTTCAGCTTGTCACCCATGGGTTGATACTAACCCTTCCTAGGTGTGATTGTATTTTCAACTGGCTTACATTATAGGGTAAGGATTTTTTTCATAAACTTAACTGTGTAATATGTGATACAATTACATTTGGCCTAAATCAGCTTGTTTAGCACTTCTTTTGAGCTTTAAGGTATTCTAATTTTATTTCAAGATCAGTTGATATATTTTGATGATCAAATCATGCCCTTAATTTGTTAACTTTTTTTGGGGGGAAGAGATTTTTTCTTTGTTTGTTTTAATCTAATCGAATGTCTAATGTTTCCTCTAGGACAAGTTTTAGGTTTCTTGGTGAATAGAAATCTTGTATTTTGCTTCTTTTTACCTCCCATTGAGCCTTAATGAGCTAGAGGTACCATGATGTGTGTGTGTGTGTGTGTGTGTGTGTGTGTGTGTGTTTAAGATTTTATTTATTTATTCATGAGAGACACAGAGAAACAGGCAGAGACACAGGCAGAGGGAGAAGCAGGCTCCACGCAGGGAGCCCGACATGGGACTCTGGGACTCGATCCTCTGGGACTCGATCCGGGTCCCCAGGATCACGCCCCGGGCGAAGACTGCGGCTACTGCCCCTGATGTGTGTGTTTTAAATGAGAATAGAATAGTTGGTTTTACTTTATTTCCCAATGAGGGCAGTATTTGGTTGGCTGTTTTAGTTGTAACAGGGTAGGGGAATCTGTGACTTTTAGGGATAATCTAGCATAATCTTGATGCCTCTGGCATGGGGCATAACTGCAAGAGCTCCTTTATAGCTTCTTGCTAACATTGAAACTCCTGTGTTGGGATGTTTGTGATGTTTTCTTAAAGTGAAATTCCGAGGACTTGCTCATTTCAGTACTTAGAAAATTATTACCTCTTATAAACCATCTCCATGTATAGGTCCTGAAAATGGGAATTTGCATGTTCTAGGGACTTTTTAGGTCATTCTGTCTGGAATATGGGTTGTAGAGAGGGTGTTAGTGGGAGCTAGGGAAGTTGGTGGAGGCTGCCTCATATAGGAATTTGATGCTAAGAGTGGTAATAAGTCCTTAAAGGATTTTAAACTAGAGATTGGATTTATATCACTTTGAATTTTTGTTGAGTAGATATAGCTCAGGAGTGGAAATAGAAGACCTGCTAGGAGACCATTGCAGTAATGGGGGCCAGAGATCATGATAGGTTGAATAGGGGCAGGAATAATACAGATGAAGAAAAAAGATAACCTTGAGATATATTTCATAGGTTGAGCAACAATACCTGTGGTGAATTGGAAAGACAGGCCAGGGTTAAAGGGCAACGGTGAAATTAGGGTGAGTAAGATTTTTGGCTTGAGTAGCTGAGTGGTGCCTTGAGTTGGGGAAGACCAGGAGTGAGGCCCCTAGGGGGTGGGGGATAGTTTTGGAAAGGTGAAATCCAGAGTTCTCTTTTAGGCATACAAGTCCAAGGGCCTAGTCCAATGTCTGGTCCAGAAAAGATAATCAGCTCTTTGACCTACCACCAAATCTAGCTGCACATTATTTCACTTCATTTCATAATGATGTAATTATTCCAGCTATTGGGAATAGATGCAATAAGATCATTGGGGTCAAAAAGTTAAAACTGTTTGGCAGACAGCCAGTCGACCATTTTGATGGGCATGCACTAATTTTAGTGCAGCGAAGAGCCCAGCCCTTATGGCGCTAGGATATCATTAACAACATTTTAAAATATGAAAGATCTATCACATGTCCATTTTTATTTGTTTCTGTTCTAGGCTCCTTACACAGTGAGTTAAATAACTAAGGTGTATACATTCCAGGTGATCTGTCTTAGAGAATCATATGCTTTTATAGTATATAATTAGCTACCAGTTGACTTGATAGTGAAAGGGAAAGTTTGTATGAATAATTTAAAACTTGAGGAACACTGTCCAACGGAACTTTCTGGGATGAGAAAAATGTTCTGTATCTGTGCTGTCTAATATGGTAGCTGCTAGCCACATGTCTGTTGAGCACTTGAAATGTAGCTAGTGTAATGGAGGAACTGAATTTCTGGTTCTGCTTAATTTTTATTAATTTAAATAGTTGCATTGTGGCTTATAGTTACTGTATTGGAAAGCACATCTAGGCAGTCATCTGTTTGCTTATGGAAAATTTTTGTCTTTTAAAAACAATAGCTATTTGTCATTTTTTTATATACACTTGTTTTAAAATGACTTTGTATTCCCCCAGCACATAACAGCATGTCAGAGGGCAGAGATCTAGACAAGTGTGGGAAAGATGACTTTGGATCATAATTTTCTTGTGGGTATAATGTGCTTATGCATACTTTAAAGCTGATTATATTAAAGAGTCATTTTTTGGCAACCAGATGATCGTTAAACACCTGTGTTGTGTGAAGTACGTGTGGCCTGGTCCTATTTCCTCACCTGTTTACAGTGAATCAGACGTCCCAATAGATGTGGAGACAGTCACATCAACCCCTGTGCCGCTCTATGACAATCAGAAGGCACGCAGCGTGATGAATGAGTGTGAACGGCATGTCATCTTCGCCAGGACGGATGCAGATGCCCCTCCTCCACCAGAGGATTGGGAGGAGCATGTCAACAGGTAGGCTGCTGCTCTGGAGGACTAGTCACTACAGGGTTAATGGTCATTGCATTGTAAATATTTTATATCATCATCTTCATTGAAACACATCTATTAGGAGCTTACTTCATTTGTAGCCACAGGTGTCAGAATGTTTTCTTAACTCTGTTATAACTCAGCTCAGGATGCAGTGAGGTGCTGGAGAGGAGGGCTTGTGTCTCAGCCATCTTTGCATCCCTGACACCTAGGACACTGCCTGGCACATAGTAGGCATATAATAAATGTTTGTTGAATAAGTAAGTGAATTAAATGTGACTAGTATGACTAGTTCTGTATCTCATATATTAGAGGTTATGATTTTGGAGTTAGCCAGACTATAAACAAACAAGCCATTAAATAAGAGTACATTTCTAAGTTAACTGTATTTATATAGTCTATAACTAGAGTAATGAAAATGTTTTGGAGTCACTTGAAAAGCTAACAGATGTTTGATTTGAATGGCTTTTAAAAATAGATTTGCAGTCTGTGGTTTTGAGGGAGTTTTCATGAGTCTGTTGGCTGATTTTATTCCCATGCTTCCTACCGACCCAGAGGACCCCGTTCCTCTCTGACCCATTTGTTATCCTTTGGCACACATTTATTTTTTACTTATGGCATAAGAACTTAATGAAGGTAAAACTTACATACCATGCAATTCACCTGTTTAATGTGTACAATCGGTGGTTTTTAGTATATGCACCACCACAGTCAATTTGATGAACATTTTTTGTCATCCTCAGAAGAAACTCCATACCCATTTCCTCCTAACCCCTTCATCCTCTGGCAACCACCAGTCTGCTCTCTGACTCTAAGTTTACCTATTGGATGTTTCATATAAATGGAATCATACAATATGTGGCCTTTTGTGTCTGGCTTTTTTCACTTAGCATAATGTTTCAAGGTTCATTCAATGTTGTAGCTTGAGTCAAATACTTCATTCCCTTTTATTGTTGAAATTGTGTCCATATACCACATTTTGTTTATCTGTGATATTTGAGTTGCTAACACTTTTTGGCTATTTTGAATAATGTTGCTATGAACATCTGTGTACTTATTTTTTTGTGGACATATGTTTTCAGTTCTCTTACATATATATTTAAAAGTGGAAATGCTGGGTCATATGGTAACTTTGTTTAGCTTTTGAGGAATTTCCAACTCTTTTTTTTAAAGGGGCTACACCATTTTACATTCCCACCAGCAGTGTATGAGAGTTCCAGTTTTCCTACATCTTTGTCAACACTTGTTATTGTCTGCCTCTTTTTTTTTAATTATTACCATTCTAGAAGATGCAAAGTGACATCTCATTGTGGCTTTAATTTGCATTTGCCTGATGGCTCTTGCTCTCTCTGTCTACTGTGTAAGGGATTGTTAAAATCTTCACATCAGGAGTGTGTAGGTGGTAAACTTGCCATAATGTTGGAGAGCTCTTGTTTTATAATAATGGAAGAGGAGGAGGTAATTAGGAAGAAGGGTAGGAGGTTTGAGGCAATTGGCATGGTTGTTGAGCCTGGTCAGAAGTGAGGATTAAGCAGGTATGCTTGTGTGAGGAAGGTAGTCACTATTGAAGGAGGAGCAGTTCTGCATCTGGGTGAAGAGCTTGTGAAGTTGTTTGCAGTCTTGAGTTGGAATTAATTGTTGTGCCCAAAGAAGGGGAAATGCTCTCCAGAGCTTCAGCTAAAGAAGGGAACTTCCACTGTGAATGAAGATTAACTACTAGAGTATTACCGGAGTCAATGAATGCAGCAAAATAATTTATTGCCATTGTTATAGTTAATAATAATAAAAAATAGTGACAATGGTAGTACCAAAAACGAACTGCCATTTGTTGAGTGCTTTCTAGGTGCCAGGCATTGTGTCATGTACTTCATATGCATTATTTCTTTTAATCCTCACAATAATTCTCTGAGCTATATCCTTTCTTTGTTTCTATTTTATAAGATGAAGAAACTGAGCTCAGGGAATTTAAGAAACCTTAGTTTAGGAAATGATGGAGCAGGAATTTGTTCAAAGCAAGCTGTCTGACTCCAGAGCTCAGTGTTCTTGACTGTGTATCCTCTCTTTAAGGGCACATCTCTTAAAAAGAGAGACCAGTAGTGGTGGCTGAACAAGGTGGCCTCACACCATTATGTATCCCTTTGTGGTGGTACTGATTGCCTTGTCCTCAGTTTGCAATTTATGAAACTGTGTGGGAGAATTGCATGAGGTTTTTTTTATCTGTTCACCCATGGTCATGATTAAGAGGTTTTTGGGGACTTTTCATACTTAACAAAGTCATCAGAGACTTAATGCATATGAATATTTGATTCTTAATTTATAAGAAGAGAAATAACCTTGCAAGGCAGATGAGACACTGGGGTGGCCTGGCCAGAGCATCAGTTCTCAGTAGGAGAGTCTGGGAAGCTATTCTGTTCCAGAAGTGGGTGGTGAGTGGACAGTCTGCCCTGGAGGCACCCTCCTTCAACAAGGCAGCTGGAAGCACCCATCTTTCTTCAAAGCAAGATGGGCTCACAGAGTAGGCCAGGGCACACCATCACCTGCCCAGGCCTGCAGAGAAACAGTGACAGAGTCTTATCTTTGGCTTGTCTTTCTCCATGTGGACCTTCCATCCTTCTGTTATGACATTGCCACAGATTGATATGATTAATTAGCGCTCAGTTTATCTCAGATTATTTGTTTTTTAGTGTCTGATGAGATTTTGGAGGAGTCCTCTCATTAGCAACAGGCTTACAAACCATCTCTTCAGGTAGGTCACTTTTGCACACAGCTAATTTCATTATTTGATGATACTTATTGGCTTCAATTTCAGAGGTCACCATTTTATGACCTTGTCCCCGAATCCTGGATGTGTAGCCTGTGTAGAGCTTGCAGTTAGTTCCCTCTGCTCTGATTATAATCATCTTGTTGCCATTCTTTCCCTTGACTTGATTGTTAAATTGCTGCTTCTTTTCTTCCTGTATAAAATTCTGTAAAATTACAGTTTCCCACATCAAGAACTCATGGGCTATAGAATGGTGCCCTAGAAATCTGTTTTTCTTTAGAAGTTACTGATCTATCAGTAGAGTCAGAAATTTAATTTTCTTTGTCAAAGCCTTTCCCCCCCCTCTTGAATTATTTTAGTAGAAACTGCTTTTATATAGCTTTCTGTGTATAGATAATGAAGGCCCCCCTCCTACTCCTAACTGACTCTAACTTTCTCTAGTAATGCCTAATATTTTGTAAAACAGTTTAAATATTCTTCTGTGCCTGATTTAATTGCCTAGATCAGGGGTTGGCAAACTGTGGTCCATGTGCCAAATTTGACCCATTGCTTGTTTCTCTATGGCCCATGAGCTACGAACAGTTGAAAAAATTAAAAAGACCCATAAAATTCAGATTTCAGTGTCCATAAATACAGTTTCACTGGAACACAGCCATGCACGTTATTTAGGTATCGTCTGTGTCTGCTTTTGCGCTATACCTATAGAGTTGATTAGTTGTGACCCAGACCATGTGGCCCACAAACTGAAATGTTTACACTCTAGTCTGTTAAGGAAAAGTTTGCTGACCTCTGGTCTAGATCATGCTCTTGTGTCTGCATGTCAAAGTCATGTGACTTGTAGAACCTTTTAAAATGATTTATATTTGCTGGTATAGCACTGTTCTGAGGAAGTTGGACTGGCTTTTTTTTCCCCAGATGTTTTGTCAAATTCCAAATTTAATTAGATGCACAGGTTTTTTTTTTTTTTTTTTTTTTTTAAGATTTTATTCATTCATTTGACAGAGAGAGAGAGAGCACAAGCAGGGGGAAGGGCAGAGGGAGAGGGAGAAGCAGGCTCCTTGCTGATGCGGGCTGATCCCAGGTGATCCCAGGACCCTGGGATCATGACCCAAGTCAAAGGCAGATGCTTAACCACTTAACCGATGGAGCCACGCAGGCGCCTCAGATGCATAGGTTTTGAAAGATATTTGATAAAATACTCCTGATACATGATATTTCTCAGCATGGTCAAATGGATTTTAGGACATTCCCAGCGTTTCAGTAAAAGTATCTATTGTCCTTAAGCAGGTTGTCTTATTTTAAAATTCAGAACTTCTGAAATCAGCCAAAGAAAAATTGCTCTTTGTTTTAAAATTTGCTCTAATTATATCTCTCAATATTGTATATATCTGTGTATTAATTTTAGATTGGATGTTTGAAATTTTGAGTCAGAGATCTTTGAGTTGTTTTTCCCTTCCCCCCCCCTTTCTTCCTTTCTCCTATTGTCTAAGCAAGGAATTATATGTAAAAAATAAATGTGGCCTAATCAGTCTTTCCAGTGTTTTCTCTCTCTCAGTTTGACTTCGAGTTAAATCCTTTAGACATTTTAATATTGAATTAGTCTCCCTTGTAACAGTATCAGAGAAAGAACAATTGCCTTTGAAAATATCTGGCTTTTTTTGGGACTAGTGTGACTTTGGCTGCTTTGGATACGATGAGCCAGAGGTCAGACATCAGTCAGGTTCTATCAAAGCAGGGGGAATATGAGATTATCTGATCTCATCTAAGAAATGAAGAAAAGGCACCTTTGCACTCATGAAAATTGAATTGGTTTAGGTGGGGGGGAACACATTGACTCACCACAGTTCCCATCAGCTATTTGACTGTTTAGACTTGTATTTAAAATTCTGTCTCCTGTTTTTAAATTTTTCCTTAATTATATCTTTTGCATGCTCTTTATCTTAATCTTGGGTTAGATCATTTTTTTTCTGCCCACTTAATTTTCCAGCCTCCCACGAAGCTGACAAAATATAGAGAACACGTTTCAGTTCTTGGAGTCACTTTGTTATATATCTAGCAACAATCCTAAGAACTTTTTCTGGGATTTTAGACTTTCAACATTGTGGTTTTTCAATTTAATTTCAGCTGTCATTGGTGTATCGTAGTAACTTCTATAAGTAGCTTTCTAGCCCCCCTCCCATTTTGTTCACATCATTTTTCTTGCTTCCATCATTTTGGGTTTTAGAATAAATACAGAGTAAAAAAGAATAGAGAAAACATCCTGTTATATAATAAAAACAGGATAATTTTGTAAATGCTGTTGGTGCCTTGTAAATAAATTATACCTCATTCTGAGTCCTTGGAATTAAAGTTTGCAACATGATTGATAGACTTTGAGAAAGTATGAGATTGTTGAACATGAAGAAATTGTATTCATTCCTTAACCTATTTGATTAAAAGTGAGCATGATTGCCAGAGGTGAGGCTACAGTGTAATAACACTTTTGAGGTGTTGCAGTTTCTTTATTCATACTATTTTCACAGAACTGGAAATTAGACATTTTCGACACAGATAGCTTTTGATCTTTCATTTCCACTTCAAGAAATTTATTCTACAGAGGTACTTGCATGCCCGTGTAAAGATGCAGACAGATGTGTGTATGGTGGGGAAAGGAAGGGTGGTCACTGCACCTGTTTATAAAGCAATAAAAGAGACACAACCTAAATGCCCACCAGTAGGGTAGAACCAGGCATTAAAAACAAAGAGGTGTGTTAATATGGAAATAGATCCTTGGATTTCCAAGCCCACCTGAGAATCGATATACATGAGAAAGCGACTATTCATGTGAATGTGTGTGCATTTAAGTTATGTGAAGGCAAATGAGATTGAAAACCAATAGGCTGGAGCTGCTTGTCCCTACAAGCAGTGATCCCAAGGTATCCGGAGGAGTTGAAGCTTCTCCCCACCTCTCAAGTCAGAAATCTCTGAAATACCAAACCACAACAAAAACTGACTAAATCCCGATGAAGTAGCAGGAATTAAACCAAGAGAATGAGGGGAAAATAAGAAAAAGGACAATTCCACAAAACCTAAGTCTGCCTTTAGTACCTCACAAAGGGGTTATGAAAGAGCAGGAGGCTTGGAGGGTTAAGGGATTCAGCTGTAGCAAGGATAGTTACTGAAGATAGAGGCTGCTTCTGAATTCTCCATCATGGACTCCAGCTGCTCTCTTACAACTTCTGCTCCCGTCGGTAATCATAACTACCTGAGTTTTTGGTTGCTGGAAGCCACCTTGGAGGCCATGTCATCCACATCTATTTTATAGTCAAGGAGACTGAGGACACATAGCCGGTTCTTTATTGCAGACCTGGTTAGAGTCTTGACTCCTAGGTAGTATTCTCTTGGATTGTGTAACTGTAGTCAGTTGTAAAACTGGAGATGTAATAGGGAGAGATTTTATTTTACAGAGGAAATGAAGGCCTGTTACTTTGTCCCTTTCTAGAGGGTATTTATTCTTTCTAAGGACAGTAGGATAGTTGCAGAAAGTGAATAACAGGGTAATTTGTCTTCCATCTGCATATTTACTGGCATGTTCCTAGTATTCTTAGATGACCTGTAGAAAAGAGGGTATCTTGCTGGTGGTGTATGATGGGAAGGATACTAGTCTGTTATAAGAGAATTTGAGATTGTTGAAGGTGTTTCAAGTAGCTTCCCTCAGTTTGCCCACCCAGGCATGGTGAAGGGCTAAGTTTACAGTTGAGCCTGGATCATGTTTCAGCATTCTCTCCTGCTCAGTGCTTAGTGTGGTACGGAGTGTAAGGGTTGGAACTGCACTCAGCCGTTTACAGGACTTAGAATATAGTATGCATAATGCATACAGTTCATCCATTTATTTATTCTTCAGCAGATGTTCAAGTGTCTTTTGTGTGCTAGGCACGGTTTTACATTCTGGGGATATAACACTTAAAACCAACAAAAATCCCCGCCATGTTGCACTTTACATTGTAGCAAAGGGAGACACGCTAAACAAAGAAGTAAAATGGGTAGAGCAGGAGGTGGTCACACGGCTGGAAAGGGGACTAAGGAATCTGGGTATTAGTAGTTTTAAATAAGAGTGAGTCAGGAAAAGCCTCAGTAGAAGGTAATGAATGTTTCAGCAGCGACCTGAAAGAGATTGGAGAGGGAGCCATTGTTTCAGGTAGAAGGAATGGATGACCAGGGCCTAGTCTGTGTTGTGGAAGCATATAGGGTATGTGTGTCAGGTAGGGTGGGGCAATGTGGTGAAGTTCAGGGAGTCAGGGGCAGTCATGGATGATAAGGTTAGAGAGGCAGTAGGGTCCAGATAGGCCACTGCAAGGAGGGACATGCTTGTAACTTATTGAAGTAGAGCCATGAAAGGCCTTTGAGCAGAGTGACATGATCTGCCTTAGGTTATTTTGATTGATTTTTTTCCCCAGAATTGATTTTCCAAATTGATTTTCCAAAAGGTTGTACTAATTTATATTTCCATCAACAAAGTATGGAGGGACCTGTTTTCCTATACTCTCACAGTACAGAGTATTATTAAATTAATTTTACCCATTTGATAGGTGAAAAATAATGTTTTATGATTTTCATTTGCATGTTTGATTTTGGAGGGAGTTGACTAATTTTTTTGTGTGAATTGCCTTTTCATGTTCTTCGCCCATTGTTTTTGTTTTGAGTATTTTATCATTTTCTCACTAATTTTCTGGTGACTTTTTCTATTTCGATGAAATGACAGTTATTTTTCCATTGTGTTTTGACTTTATAATAGTTTAGTTTTTTCCTTTGTAGAAGTTTGAAATTTTTATCTTCATATCTTTATTTTTTTTAAAAGGTTTTATTTATTTGAGAGAAAGAGACAGATAGAGAGTACAAGTAGGGAGGAAAAGGAGAAGCAGGCACCCTGCTGAGGGGAGCCCATGCAGGTCTCAATCCCAGGACCCTGGGGTCATAACCTGAGCCACCTAGGCCCTAGCCCTCCCTATCTTTGTATCTTTAACATTTATCTTTCTTTTATGGCTTTTAGGTATTAGGTCATATTCAGAAAAGTTTTACTCATTCTAGGATATATATATATATATGTATGTATTTACCACTTTTTCTTATTAGTAACTATTTTTTCCTATTTAACTTTTCTACTTAGAATTTATTTTGGTGTAAAGAGTGATGTGTAGGGGTCTAGATTTTCTTTTTCCAATTGGGTAGTGGTTGTCTCAGCCCTATTTACTTTAACCTTACTGATTGAAATGCTACTATGATCTCATTCCAGGTTCTCATTTGGGTCTGGCATCCACATAAATTGTTTTTTTAAAGGTAACTTAATCACTAGCTTTGTGTGTGTGTGTGGTAGGGAGAGTTGATAAACATATATTAATTGAGCATCTTCTATTACCTTTTCTTAGTCTCTTTAGAAAGGTTACTGTCCAGAGTTGGAGTATTAGTCGTTAAGATTGCCAGGAGTGGGCTGAGGGGAGACTTAAATAAGCTCCTTGCACTGTACTAGGTGTGATGAGGTGGGAACAAAAGCAGTAGAACTAGTTTCTAATTGTGGATGTTTACTGCTGAATTGGAGGAGGATACACAAAGCCTTCCCTAATCAAAGTAGAAGTGTGTATGCCAGTGTCATGAGGAGATGGTACAGTGTTAACTTATATGGAACAGAGCATTCAAAAGGAAATTTGTTAATTGTGTAGTATACAGAAAAATATAAAAAATAATACATGGAAAAGGGAGAGTAGTAGTATGGGATGCAGTATTAGGGAAAAGCTTCATTTGTTATATTCCTGTTTATATTCTTAAATGTAATTTAAATAGGCCTCTTAGTCTGAGGTTTTAGTACATTGAAATGCTTGTTTATCCTGTCTTTTAATGTGAAATATTAAACTTGTAAAATTCAAATATATCTGTGCAGTGGTGCCATGCTATTTTTTATTAATGGATTATTTTAGCCTCTAGATAAATAATTAGCTTTGCTAGCACTGTAAAAAACTTCATTCATAACTGGTTTTGACTTGTGTATATATTAATACAAATGTATGCTGAAGTGACTTATGGACAGGATTGGGACCAAAATCTAGGTGTTGTGCTTTAGCTCAGTGGTCTTGCATTAAGCTGCTTTGAGTTATATTGTTTCATATTGTGGACAGAAAACATCTTTGTACAATGTACATGCATGAGGAGTGTCCCGATGTTTGACTTTAATTCCTCTGAGTTTCTCTTATAGGACTGGTTGGACAATGGCCCAGAACAAGCTATTTAACAAGATCCTCAAAGCCCTGCAGTCTGACCGCCTTGCCCGATTGGCCAATGAAGGGGTAAGACTCCAGAAAACGGCCCCATGGTGTTCCCTCCCTAGTTTAGCCTTACTGGCTGACTAACTTGTTGTTCCCTTGCCACCTGCCCCAGTTATTAACAAGGTGGCCTTCATGTATTACCACTTCACTTACATCTTCTAGGCTTGCAATGAGCCAGTGCTGCGCCGTGTTGCCGTGGACAAGTGTGCAAGGAGAGTGCGGCAGGCTCTGGCAAGTGTGAGCTGGGACACCAAGCTGATCCAGTGGCTGCATACCACCCTGGTGGAGACGTTGAGTCTGCCCATGCTGGCCGCCTACCTAGATGCTTTGCAGACACTCAAAGGGAAGGTAAGGTTATGACTGGCGTCTGCCCCTTGTCCTAGGTTGGCCAGCCTCTGCTGTAGGTTCAGAAAGTGGGGTTGGGCAAGGTCACTGCCTGGTCAGCCTGGAGGACATGACTGAAGCTAACAGGTTTGCTTTGCTATTAAAAATAGGAGACATGGTATCATTTTACGTTTTGTCTGGTGTAAACGTCTTTAGCCCTGCTGTCTCCAGAATGAAGTGTGAGGCCTGAAAACCAAAATGTACTTTTAGCCTCTCCAGCCCTGCAGCTTGTGGTTTGAGTCACCTCTGAGGTGAGGTGAGAAAAGAATTGAATTATCATGGGGAAGGTGAAGGGTTTACCAGGGAGGCATGTTGAAAATGAGGACAGAAGCAGACTTAGGTGTTCACCGAGTACAGGACTGTGGGGTGGGAAGATTTCCAGCACTGTCCACTCTAGGCTGTGCTCTCAGGAGTGGTTCCTCTACTGACAGGCTCTTGTTTTCTTAGATTATCAAGTTCACAATGAGTACTTCGGTTGTTTCTCGCTAAAATTTTTTGAATTTATTTTTAATTTTTATTATTTAAGTATAGTTGAGATACAGTGTTTTATTACTTTCAGGTGTATAATATAGTGATTTGACAGTTCTGTACATTACTCCTTGCTCACCATAGTAAGCGTAGTCACCATCTGTCACTAGATAATGTTATTACAATATTACTAACTGTTCCCTATGCTGTACTTTTCATCTCTGTGACTTATTATTAGAAGTTTGTATCTCTTAATCCTCTTCACTTATTTCACCATCCCCCCAACCCTCTTTCTTCTGGCAACCACTAGTTTGTTCTTTGTATTTATGAATCTGTTTCTGTTTTTTAGTTTGTTTACTTGTTTTATTTTTTAGATTCCACATGGAAATGGAGTCATATGTTATTTGTCTTTCCTTGACTTACCTCACTTAGCATAATATCCTTTAGATCCATCCGTGTTTTTGCAGATGGCATGATCTCATTCTTTTTTATGGTGGGAGTAGTATTCTATTGTGTATATAAACCACGTAATCTTTACCCATTCATCTGTGGATGGACACTTGGTAGCTTCCGTATCTTGGCTATTATAAATAATGCTGCAGTGAACATAGAGTGCATATATTTTTTCAAATTAGTGTTTTCATTTTCTTTGGGTAAATGCCCAGTAGTGAATTACTGGATCAAAAGGTAATTCTATTTTTAATTTTTTGAGGAACCTCCATACTGTTTTCCCCAGTGGTTGCACCAATTTACATTCCCAGCAAGAGTGCACAAGGGTTCCCTTATCTCCACATCCTCCCTGGCACTTGTTATTTCTTATCTTTACTGGTATAAAGTGGTAATTCTTTGTGGTTTTGATTTGCATTTCTCTCTCTTTTTTTTTAAAGATTTATTTATTTATTTATGATAGACAGAGAGAGAGAGAGAGAGAGAGAGAGAGGCAGAGATACAGGAGGAGGGAGAAGCAGGCTCCATGCCAGGAGTCTGACGTGGGACTCGATCCCGGTGCTCCAGGATCGCGCCCTGGGCCAAAGGCAGGCGCTAAACCGCTGAGCCACCCAGGGATCCCCTGATTTGCATTTCTCTTGTGGTTAGTGATGTTGAACATTTTTTCATGTGTCAGTTGGCGATCTATATGCCCTCTGGAAAAGTGTCTATTAGGTCCTCTGCCCATTTTTTAAATTGGATTATTTTGTTGTTGTTAAGTGGCATAAGTTCTTAACATATTTTGGATATTAACTCCTTATCAGATATATCATTTGCAAATATCTTCTGCCATTCAGGAGATTGCCTTTTCATTTTGTTGATGGTTTCCTTTGCTGTGCAAGACCTTTTTATTTTGTGTAGTCCCAATACTTTATTTCCCTTTTGTTTCCCTTGCCCTAGGGGTGTACCTGTAAATATGTTGCCTAAGACCAATGTCCGAGAGGTTACTGCCTATATTTTCTTTTAGGAGTTTTATGGTTTCAGATCTCACATTCAGGTCTATAATCCATTTTGAGTTTATTTTTGTGTATGGTATAAGAAGGTGGTCCAATTTCATTCTTTTGCATGTAGCTGTCCAGTTTTCCCAACATCATTTCTTTTTTTTTTTTTTTTAAGATTTTTTGTATACATTCATGAGAGACACAGAGAGGCAGAGACACAGGCAGCGGGAGAAGCAGACTCCACACAGGAAGCCCGATGTGGGACTCGATCCTGGGATTCCAGGATCACGCCCTGAGCCCAAGGCAGACACTCAACTGCTGAGCCACCCAGGTGGCCCTACCATTTCTTTATTAAAGAGGCTGTCTTCTCCCCATTCTTGTCTCCTTTGTCATAGATTAATTGACCGTGTAAGTGTAGGTTTGTTGCTGGGTTCTCCATTCTGTTACATTGATCTTTGTGTCTGTTTTTGTGTTAATACTATGGTGTTTGGGGCACCCCGGGTGGCTCAGAGGTTTAGCGCCGCCTTCGGCCCAGGGTGTGATCTTTTTTTTTTTTTTTTTTTTTTTAATTTTTTTTTTTAATTTATTTATTTATGATAGTCAGAGAGAGAGAGAGAGAGGCAGAGACACAGGCAGAGGGAGAAGCAGGCTCCATGCACCGGGAGCCCGACATGGGATTCGATCCCGGGTCTCTAGGATCGCGCCCTGGGCCAAAGGCAGGCGCCAAACCGCTGCGCCACCCAGGGATCCCACCAGGGTGTGGTCTTGAAGACCCGGGATCGAGTCCCACATTGGGCTCCCTGTGTGGAGCCTGCTTCTCCCTCTGCCTGTGTCTCTACATCTCTCTCTCTGTATGTCTCTCATGAATGAATGAATAAATAAATAAATAAATAAATAAATAAATAAATAAAATCTTTAAAAAATATAAATTTAAAAAAGGAAAATATTAAAAAAAAATACCATGGTGTTTGGACTATTATAGCTTTGTAGTATATCTTGAATTCTGGGACTGTGATACCTCCAGCTTTGATGTTCTTTCTCAAGATCGCTTTGGCTATTTGTGGTCTTTTGTAGTTTTATTTATTTGTTAAAGATTTGGTTTATTTATTCATGAGAGAGGCAGAGACACAGGCAGAGGGAGAGGCAGGCTTCATGAAGGGAGCCCAATATGGGACTCGATTCTGGAACTCCAGGATCACGCCCTGGGCCGAAGGCAGGTGCTAAACCATTGAGCCACCTAGGCATCCCTCTTTTGTGGTTTTATACAAATTTTAGGATTATTTGCTCTAGTTCTCTGAAAAATGCTATTGGGATTTTGATATGAATTGAGTTGAATCTATAGATTGCTTTTGGTAGTATGGACATTTAACAATGTTAAATTTGCTAATCCATAAGCATAGAATATCCATTTTCTTGTGTCATTTTTAATTTCTTTTTTTAATGTCTTAACAATTTTTAAAGTAAAGGTCTTTTACTTCCTTTTAATTGTACCTGTTGGATGGAAATGAAGGTGAATGGGATCATGCTCTTGGGCCAGCTACTTTCAGCATTAGAGCCATTGTGAAGGGAGCAGAGAGAGTATACACCCTAGCCTCTTAATTTTTTGTTGAGAGTGAATGCAGTGTTGGAAAGACCAGTGAGGCTTGGTTTACCAGCTCCAAGCAGAGAAATTGGTATTGATTAATTATTTCTAAGTAGTGTGTATTGAAGGAAAGTGAGTTTCAAGACTTTGCTGTTTCAGAGTTGTACTCTCCTGCCAGATAAAAGCTTTTGAAGTCTAATTCAGATCAGATTCTCTTACTCAAGGTGTTGAGTGGCTTGTAGTTACAGAATAAGTTGCAAAGAATAAGCCCTACAGTCTTGCTTCTTTCTAGTGTCACTGATTGGAAAGCATTTTCCCCATGTTCTCTTGGAATTCTGCAGAGCACATCTCATTTCACATGCTGCATCTTCAGATGAAAATTGCCTCTTGACTTTCTCCTCCTCTGTCAGATGGTTTGAATCAGCAGTGTGGGGTTTCTCTTTCTTTCTGGCACTTATTAATAGCCTCTTTTGTTATTTGTGTGTCTGTCTTCCTTACCCCTCATAGATTATAAGCCTGGTGCCTTGTAACAGCAGCTGTGGCATGAACATTTGTTTCCTGAATTAAGCTGAGGTAGTCTGATGATATATTCCCCCTTAATTTCTTAGGGAGAAATCTTTTTAGTCTTGTTCTTTTTAAAATAGTATTACTGTCCATTCTTGTCATTGCCTGGGCAGCTTATTTTCTTGTATTGTCTTTGAACTTTTTGATATATAGCATTTTATTAGTTTCAGCTGTACAACATGACTTGATATTTGTATATATTCCAAAATGATCACCACAATGAGTCTAGTTAACATGTGTCATTGTGCATAGTTAACAAAATTTTTTCTTGTGATGAGAACTTTTAAGATCTATTCTCAGCAACTTTCAAATAGGCAGTACAGGGCAGCCTAGGTGGCTTTAGTGGTTTAGCGCTGCCTTCAGCTCAGGTCGTGATCCTGGAGTCCCAGGATCGGGTCCTGAGTCGGGCTCCCCGCATGGAGCCTGCTTCTCCCTCTGCCTGTGTCTTTGCCTCTCTTTCTCTGTCTCTCATGAATAAATAAATAAAATAAAATCTTTAAAAAAAATAGGCAATACAATATTAACTATAGTCACTACGCTGAACATCATATCTCCATGACTTACTTACTTTAAAATGGTAAGATTGTACCTTTTGATACCCTTGACCTAGTTTGTCCACCTCCAGTCCCCTGCCTTTGGCAGCCACCAATCTATTATCTATATCTGTGAGCTTGTTGCTGTTGTTTTATTTTTTACTTTAGATTCTACATATAAGTAAGATCATGCAGTGTCTTTCTGTGTCTAACTTATTTCACTTAGCATAATGCCCTCAGGATCCATCCATGTTGTAGTAAATGTCAAGATTTCTTTTCGGTTTTATGACTGAATAATACTCCATTGTGTGTGTGTGTGTGTGTGTGTGTGTGTGTGTGTGTGTGTGTGTGTACATACACCCCATTTTCTTTATCCATTCAAATAACTTAGGTTGTTTTCATTTTTTGTCTATTATAAATAATGGTGCAATGAAAATGGGGATGGATGCATATATCTTTTTGAGTTCGTATTTTTATTTTCTTTGGGTAAATACCCAGAAGTAGAATTGCTGGATCATATTGTAGTTCTGTTTTTAATTTTTTGAGGAACTTGCATACTGTTTCCCATAGTGGCTGCACCAGTTTACATTCCCACCAAGAGTGCACAGTGTTCCCTTATCTCGCATCCTTGCCAGCACTTGGTATTTCTTGTCTTTTTCCTAATAGCCATTCTAACAGAGGTAAGATGATTTCTCACTGTAGTTTTGATTGGCATTTACCTGATGATGAGTGATGTTGAGCATCTTTTCATGTGTCTGTGGGCTATCGGTATGTCATCTTTGGAAAAATGTCTATTCAGATCTTCATTTTAATTGGATTATTTTTTTGCTGTTGAGTTGTAAGAGTTCTTTATATAATTTGGGTATTAACCCCTTATTGGATATTTGTAGATATCGTCTCCTGTTCAGTAGGTTGCCTTTTCATTTTGTTAGGGTTTCCTTTGCTATGCAGAAGCTTTTTAGTTTGATGTAGTCCCAATAGTTTACTTTGCTTTTGTTGCCTTTGCTTTGGGTGTCTGATTCAAAAACTTATTACTAAGACAGATGTCAAGGAGCTTACTGCCTATGTTTTCTTATAGAAATTTTATGGTTTCAGGTCTTATGTTGAAGTCTTTGATCCATTTTGAGTTATCCATTTTGAGTCTTTGATCCATTTTGAATTAAGTTTTGTGTATGGTGTAAAGTACTGGTCCAGTTTCATTCTCTTGCATGTGACTGTTTAGTTTTCCCAACACCATTTATTTCGCCATTCTATATTCTTGGCTTCTCTATTATAAGTTAACTAACCATAGATGCCATATATGTGTTACTTTATTTCTGGGCTTTCTATTCTGTTCCATTGATCTATGTGTTCCATTGATCTATGTGTTTGTATAAAAATACTCTTGATTACTGCAGGTTGTTAATATAGCCTGAAATCAGGGAGCGTGATGCCTCCAGCTTTCTCGTGCTTTGGATAATCAGGTTTTTTTTGTGGTTCCATGCAAATCTTAATGTTGTTTTATTTCTGTGAAAAATGCTATTGGAATTTTTTTTTTTCTATTGGAATTTTGATAGGTATGCATTGAAGCTGCAGATTGCTTTGAGTAGTTTGGACATATTTTTTTTTTTAAAGATTCCATTTATTTGTTCATGAGAGACACAGAGAGATAGAGGCAGAGATACAGGCAGAGGGAGAAGCAGGCTCCATGCAGGGAGTCTGACATGGGACTTGATCCCGGGTCTCCAGGATCACCCCCTGGGCTGAAGGCGGCACTAAACCGCTGAGCCACCCCGGCTGCCCAGTTTGGACACTTTTAACAGTATTTTTCCTTTTTTTTTTTTTTTTTTTTTTTAAAGATTTATTTATTTATTTATTCATGAGAGACAGAGACACAGAGAGAGGCAGAGACACAGGCAGAGGAAGAAGCAGGCTCCATCCAGGGAGCCTGATGCGGGACCCAATCCTGGGTCTCCAGGATCAAGTCCTGGGCCGAAGGCAGGTGCTAAACTGCTGAGCCACCCAGGGATCCCTTAACAGTATTTTTCCAATCCATAAGCACAGAATATCAGAATATCTTTCCATTATTTATGTTTTCTTCTGTTTCTTGCATTAATGTCTTGTATTTTTAATTGCATAGTTTTTCACTTCCTTGGTTAAGTTTATTCCTAGGTATTTTTTCTTTTTGATCCAGTTGTAAGAAGGATTGTCTTTTAAATTTCCCTTTCTGCTAGTTTGATACAAGTGTACAGAAATGCAACAGATTTTTACATATTGATTTTGTATCCTGCAACTTTGCTGAATTTGTTTATTAGTTCCAACAGCTTTTTGGTTAGGTCTTTAGGATTTTCTCTATAGAATATGTCATCTGCAAATAGTGTCAGTTTTACTTCTTCCTTTCTAATTTGGATTCCTTTTATTTTTCTTGTCTAATTGCTCCAGCTAGGACTAATAGTACTGCTGTGTTACATAAAAGTGGTGAGAGTGGGCATACTTATCTTGTTCCTGATCTTAGAGGAAAAGCTCTCAGGTTTTCACTGTTGGGAATAGCATTAGCTATGGGCTGACTTTACAACCTGCATCACCATAGTACTTTTCATTCTTCACTTTCTCAGAATGTTTTTTTTTCTTTTTCTTTTTTTTAATTTTTATTTATTTATGATAGTCACACACAGAGAGAGAGAGAGAGGCAGAGACATAGAGGGAGAAGCAGGCTCCATGCACCGGGAGCCCGACGTGGGATTCGATCCCGGGTCTCCTGGATCGCACCCTGGGCCAACGGCAGGCGCCAAACTGCTGCGCCACCCAGGGATCCCCTGTTTTTGCTTTTCTGAAGACTACCTTTAAACATTTGAAATTCTTTCCTTTCCCCTAGGTCACTTTGACCTTTTGTGGGTAATATGGAATTCACAGAAATATTTCTTCTTTTTTTTTTCATAGAAATATTTCTTCTCAGTGTAAGCATCAGCATGTCCAAAACCTATACTTACACATCTATGAGGTCACATTTTCTAGTAAAAAATAGGATATGGTATAAGTCACAGTACACACAGTACATAGGAAATATTATTTTGGGCACAATAACAGATTTCTTTAAAGTGTCAAAGCTTGAAGGCAATACTCTAGAGGAAAATGCAGATTTTTAAAAAAAATTTATAAAATCAACTGATGTTCATTGAGGATATTAGAAAATACAGAAATCTAAAAAGAAAAAAGCTGTCCATAACTCCATAAAGATAACTATTAATATTTTGGCATATTTTCTAATAGCATTTTTTTCTGAGTAGAGGTAATTTTTATGTTTTCTATTTTTCTTTAACATTTTAGCAAAGTTATTTCCCTATGTTATTACAGATTCTTTTAAATATTTTAAATTAACTTTAATACCTAGTTACATGGATAACTTGCATAATCATTCTCTTATAGATATATTTAGGTTATTTTTTCTCCTTAATCATTGTTGAGAATTAATTTGTCTTTTACGCACACCCCTACCCGCCCCAAGCCCCATGTGTATATTTTTGATATATTTTGTTAGGAAAAGTTCTGAGAAATAGAATCCTTTGGGAAGGGGATAGCACTAAATTTAAGTCTCTTGATACATATCACCAGATTTCTTTCTAAAGGATTGTACCCATTTACCTTTAATGATGGGAGGCATACTTTTCAACTATCTCCTTATTTGTACTTTTGCCCCCAAGTAAAGTTTGAAAGGCTTAGTTGAAGTCTGTCTGTGACTCATAATGGGGTTCTTTCCTCCCACCCAATTCCTGCTGGTGGGTAGGTCTCCTGCTTCTCACTGGAAGCATCTTTGCTTTTGCTTCTAGATCCCTACTTTGATTGACCGGATGCTTGTGTCATCTAACACGAAGACTGGGGCTGCAGGAGCTGAGGCCTTGTCCCTCTTGCTGAAGAGGCCCTGGGATCCTGCTGTGGGAGTACTTTCTCATAATAAACCAGTAAGTCAGAGGAGCTCAGAACTTAACTATGGCAAGTCAGAGGAGCTCAGAACTTAACTATGGCCCATGAAATTTTTAGAATTCAGTCTCAGAACCTTAGTAAGAGGATAATAAATAACTTTTCCCATTAATAACTGGTTGTGTATAGTGCTTTAGCATAGTTTCATAAGGAAATTAGCATTGTTTGGAATAAGAAAGGTATTGGGATGCTTAGGATTTTGTGGAGTAACACCTCTCTCTCACTGGTTCTCTGTTGGGGTTCTTCTTCCTTAGAGCAAACTCCCTGGCTCTCCTCTCATTCTCATTGCCTCCTCCGGGCCTTCTAGCTCCGTGTTTCCCACCTCACGCCGCCACCGCTTCTGGCAGTCTCAGCTGTCCTGCTTAGGCAAGGTATGTGTGGGAATAAGAGGAACTATTTCCTGGTTGGAGTAGAGTCTTGAAGGACTGAGGCGACAGAATGTGGGAGGGGGTCCAAATGGATGGACTTAAGTGTTGAGCATCCCCCCACTCTCTTTGTTTTTAATTTGAATGGTGCTTATCTAAAGTTGAAGGGATTTAGGGTAGGTTAAGCAGAATTGAGAGAAGATTAGAAACTTATCTCTGCTGGCATGGCTGCCACTTTCTCTCCTTTAGGTCATCCCTGTAGCCACCCATCTGCTGAACAATGGTAGTGGGGTCGGAGTTCTGCAGTGTCTCGAGCATATGATTGGGGCAGTGAGAAGCAAAGTGCTGGAGGTGAGAGTGCCCTTGTTTCAATTCACTGTGGCATGCCCAGCATGCTGGGCTTGTTTTGCACCCAGCTATGTCCTCCTGTCTTACTGTCTTCTTTCTCTTCCCTCAAAGATACACAGCCATTTCCCCCACAAACCTATTATCTTGATTGGTTGGAATACAGGAGCTTTGGTGGCCTGTCACGTAAGTAATTCACATCTCATTTGGAAGTTGTCTTGGGATAGAATAATAGGCTATTGCTGCTGATTGCTACCATTAAGTCCTTTTTTATGTTCCAGACACTGTGGTAGATGATCTGCCTATATAAATGGCATTTTAAGGCGTAAAAGACTAACTTTGTTTTCTAACTTTATTGTGGAAATTTTAAGCAGAAACCTAAAAGGAGAACAGATGTAAAATAAAGCCTATGGGCCCCTCACCCAGCTTTACCAGCAGTTAACTCATGGCCAGGTTTTTTCATCTTACCCCTGCCCACTTTCTCTCTCCTCTAATTATTTTGAGGAAAATCCCAAATAGGGCGCCTGGGTGGCTCAGTCGATGAAGCATCTGCCTCTGCTTGAGGTCATGATTCCAGGGTCCTGGAATTGAGCCCTGAGTTGGGCTTCCTACTCAGTGGGGAGTCTGTGTCTCCCTCTCCCTTGCCCCTCCCCCTGCTCATGCTCTTTCATTCTCTCATAAATAAATAAAATCTTGAAAAATAAAATAAAATTGGAGTCTTAATATTAAAGAAAATCCCAAATATTTCATTTGTATATATTTCAGCATATATCTCTGAAAAAAATATTCCTCTTCCACTCCCAAATGTATGTACTATTCTCCTACCTTAAAAAAAGATACTAGCAGGCATAAATTTTAATAGTTTTGGAATTTGATGTTATATTCATATTCTGTTCCTTTCTAAGACCTCAAGGAACCTTTCTTAATTATTTTACATACATTTATATGTACATTAGTTTGCATAAGTGTTCCTGACCTGTCCAAAGCCCCTATTCTCAAGTGGATCAAGTAAGTGGAGCCTATACTGCTTCATGTGGTGTGGTTAAGTATGACATCTAGGGCCACTGGAGGAAGGACCTCCCTCTACACCCTGGTCTTGGGAATAGCAGAATTCAGTCAGCAACTGCTCCAACAAATTTGGGGTGCCTAGGAGCTCACCATTAAATTAAAAAGGAATAGATTTTCTTCATTTAAGGGAGAAGAACAACATTTGTGCTCTCCTGATTGCATTTGCTATCAGTGGAGAGAAAAGTGAATAGGAGGACTTAAGTATAGGAATTAATAGGATGGAAGCATTGAACTTCCCGTCCTGTGGTTCAGCCCTCTGCTGGGGTTCTCTCAGGGCTCCATCTTGTGTCTTGTGATCTTACTGCTGCCACTGGCTGGTTCTCCTGGGAATTAGTACTGGGGAGGAAGAGATGGGGACTAGCTGATAAGTCTGGACCACCTCTGGACTCTGGGTATGGTGTAGCTGCAGTAAAGTCATTTGACCTTTAGACAAACTATTGTATTATTTCCAGGTGTCAGTGATGGAGTATGTCACTGCAGTTGTCTGCCTTGGGTTTCCTTTACTCACCGTGGATGGTCCCAGAGGGGTAAGCATGGAGTGCAGCTGATTACTGGGTCAGTGGCTGGTGAGAATAAGGGGGGGTGTGCATTACACAAATTGGTGCTTAATGACTATAGTTGCCCAGCTGACTCCCTTCAGCAGACTTGCCTGGTCAGTGCTCAGTTAATAGGAACTGGCTGATTATAAAAACTATACATGTTTCAGGATGTGGATGATCCCCTCTTGGATATGAAGACTCCAGTCCTCTTTGTCATTGGACAGAATTCCTTACAGTGTCATCCCGAAGCCATGGAGGATTTCCGAGAGAAGATTCGGGCTGAGAACAGCTTGGTGGTGGTTGGGGGAGCTGATGATAATCTCAGGTGTGTAGCTTCCCCAGAACTGTGAGAGAGCCATATTGTAGTGTTGGAGGAATGCCTATGAGGTGGTAATATAACTAGATACTAAATCTTCTTTGAAAGGGGAAACCATTTTACATATTAAACTAATTCAGATTTCTAAAAAGTTGCAAAAACAGTACAAAAAATTCTTAGGTACCTTTAACTCAGATTTCCCAAATGTTAACATCTCACATAACCAGAGTATATTATCAAAATGAGGATATTAACATTGTATGATACTATTGTCTAATCTACAGACACAGATACTATCAGTTGCCTCACTAATGTCCTTTCTCTGTCCAGTATCCAATCCAGGATCACATGTTGTTATTAGCTGCCTTGTCTTCTTGAGTTTGGTAATATTCCTAGGTCTTTCATGATCTTGACATTTTGAAGACTTCTGGCCAGTTTTTTTGTAGGCTGTCTCTCAATTTAGGCTTTTGACATTTTTTTTTTGTGATTAGGTTGAGCATAGCATTTTTGGCAGAAATGCCAGAGATGATAAGCCCTCGGTGCATCCTCCCTGGGGATACATGTTGTTGATATGTCTTATCACTGGTGTTGTTATGTGTGAAGGTGGCATCTTCCAGGTTTCTCCATTGTCAAGTTACTATATTTCCGTTTGCGATTAGTAGTTACTCTGTGGGAAGGAGATAATTTGAAACAGTGAATGCAGTTTTGGTCATTGTGCTTTCACTGGAGTAGGCATTTCTTTATATTTTGTATCTTACTGAAGATGTATATGAACATAAGTTTCATTCGTATTAAACATCCTTTTATATATTATAGAATAAAAACAGCTGGAGTTTAGAATGGGCACCTTAGGTCATTGAGATGGCTACTGGCTCCTTACAAGACGAGCCGCCTGTAGGGTCTTTAATGATGATTTCATGAAATGTACTGAAAGATAGGTGGTGTCATTTGTTGGCTTCCTTTTTTAAAAAAGATTTTATTTATTTATTTGACAGAGAGCAAGCAGAGAGAGTGGCAGGCAGAGAGAGGGAGAGGGGGAGAAAGCAGGCTCCCTGCTGAGCAAGGACTCTGATGTAGGACTCAATCCCAGGATCATGGGATCATTTGACCAGAGCCGAAGACAGATGCTTAACCCGCTGAGCCACCCGGGCACCTGGGCTTCGTGTTTGTTTTTTTGTTTGTTTGTTTGTTTTTTTGTTTGTTTTGTTTTGTTTTTTTTAATATGCTCAATCTTAGAGCTTAATTTCATTTGTGTGCTTTAGCTAATAAGCTTAAAGCAAGTACCTGCTCCTACCTGTCTTGTCAGTTTCTTAGCCAAAGATGTTTTAGAGAAGTCGTGGTTTTTGTTATTTGGCCATTTTTTTGTGGGCCTAGAATCTAATTCTTCAGTGTTCAAGGCAATGTTTTTTTGTAAATACATTGTCTTTGTTGGTTATTCAGACATTCTTATCTATAGGAGGGTAGTGTGTGTGTGTTGAGTGGCAGTGAGGGAACATGAGAGGTTAGAATACCTTAGTGGGAGTTGTATTGTGAGGCTTCTTATGAGACGTGATTGCAAGGTGCGTGGGTATTGTCCTGAGAATTAGGAGACCTCAATTTAGTCTTGATTGCTTTGCTAAGAACCATGCTAAAAACTGCTTAACTTCTGGGACTTGCTGGCCTCATCTGTAAGATGAGGATGCTATACAATGTCAGAGGCCAACAGCTAGTAAATTGGGGTCTCAGAATTTGGAAGCTCAGAATGTTGTTCTCTACCCTGTCACTTGGGGCCCTGTTTTTTTCTCTGCCAAGACCCACTGCCACCCCCCTGTCAGAAACCAGGGGTTTTAGGGACTCTTGGGTGACTTAGCAGTTCAGTGTCTGCCTTCAGCCCAGGGCATGATCCTGGAGTTCCGGGCCCCAATCCCACATCAGGCTCCCTGCATGGATCCTGCTTCTCCCTCTGCCTAGGTCTCTGCCTCTCTCTCTTTGTGTCTCTCATGAATAAATAAATAAAATCTTAAAAAAAAAAAAAAGCCAGGGGTTTTAAAAATAGCTTCCAAAGAGGGGAGTGCAGCCATCTATGGCCAGTTACTGTTATCTCTTTAGAACTAACCTGTGACCACCTCTCCTCTTCTACTGATCTCATTACATATATTATTTTCGTAATCCCCACAAGTCAATGAGTGAGGTGTTATGATTCCCCATTTTTCAGATGTGGAAGCTAAGGTTCAGAGAGGTGGTGATACCTGCTAGAGGGCTAATGTAGTCCTCCTTCCTGGGCACAGGAAGAGAAGAAGAAACACAGAAGAGAAAGCCATTCTTGCTCCCGTATTATGCCATGGAATGTTTAAGTATTTCTTCCTCTCTGTCTCTTAGAATAAGCAAAGCAAAGAAGAAATCAGAGGGGCTGACTCAGAGCATGGTGGACAGATGTATTCAGGTACACAGTTGTTTTAATGTGTTTTTCTCAGTGAGGCTTGCCTTTCTGTAGCCTGTTAGCCTTGATCTCGTTGGCCAATTTCTTTGGCTCTGAAGGGTATGGGAGTATCCAGTGGGGCTTCTGGTAGAACTAAATCAAGCAAAGAAAAGGGGAAAGGGAGGGGAAGAAAGGGAAAGCTGTATGTAGCATCAGCAGAGAAGGGGTTTATTGGAGGAATGGGGGAACACACTACCCCAGTGTGCCACCCCATAGAGGTGTCAGGGTGCAGGCTACTGCTGGTCTTTGGCTGAGGCTGGGGTTTGTGCCTGGCTCTGTGTGCATGGAGAGGGATCGGCACACCCGATGCCAAAGCTGGGGTTAATTGAATTGAGTTGAGCTTGTTGGGGAGGTTCCTGTTCCCTAGACTGAGGACTCAGCAGTCTGGGCCTCTCTTTACACTAGGATGAGATCGTGGACTTTCTGACTGGAGTGCTGACTCGCGCCGAGGGGCATATGGGTTCTGAGCCTCGGGATCAGGATGCTGAGAAGAAGAAGAAGCCTCGGGATGCAGCCCGCAGAGACTTGGCCTTTGAGGTCCCTGAGCGGGGCAGTCGGCCTGCCTCACCAGCTGCCAAGCTGCCTGCCTCACCCTCAGGCTCAGAGGTGATGCAGGCAGGGAGGGAGCACTTTTGTTAGGGAAGTTAGCTGTGGAGTTGATTCCTTCACTTGCTAGGGATGCTTGTCTGCCTTGCCAGTGCTGTAGTACTTTGAGTTCTAGTGGGGAGGATTTCTGACCAGGGAATTCCAGGGGGACGTGATAATTGGTGGTCAAATCCAAATATCTGGCTCAGCTCTTATCCTTCTCACCCTACCCAGGATCTTTCCAGTGTATCTAGCAGCCCCACCTCAAGTCCCAAGACCAAAGTGACCACAGCGACCTCTGCCCAGAAGTCCAGTCAGATTGGGAGCTCTCAGCTCCTGAAGAGACATGTGCAGCGGACGGAAGCTGTGCTGACCCACAAACAAGCCCAAGGTATAGGCTCCTTGGCCCAGGGGCCCCTCAGTTTATCTTTTAGAGTGATGTCATGTGGTATTTGGAAAGTATTGGCATCTGTAGCTTCTTCCAGGAGCATGGGAGAGGCACCCTTTCCCACATTTCTGTCCAGACAAAATTAGGTTGCAATGAATACCAAGGATTGTTTTCAAGGGTAAGACATCACAAAAGGTCTCTGCATTAGTGGAGCTGTATAGTTCCACTAATTATAGCTTTGCTTTGGTGTTCTGGGGAAGTTTGGTTTTATGAGCTGACTACGTGTGTACTTGCCTCAAATTTTTTTTCTGACTCCCAATTAGGGAAGCTACTTCTGTTCTAGGCCCTGCCTAGCCACTCCTGCAGTCAGGGCACTATTCAGGTCATGTGGACAAGGTGATTAGTTTTATTTCTCAGATTCCAGGGCAACTCAGCTGGCATCATGCCCTTTCTTTGTTGTGCCCTTGAAGAGTTAAGGTTCCCACACTGGGACTTTCTGTGAAGTTTGTTGGGGTTTCTCCAGATAGGCTTTAGATTAGTCTGGGAAATGTTTGTATGGCTGAGATCAGAGTCTGGAGAACAGTGTGCTACTGAAGCTACAGAAAAGGGAGTTTTGTGAGCAAGGAAAAAGGAAACCATAGCTCTTCCTCTGCCCCCCACTTTGGTCCAATTGGGCAGCCCCAAGGTAAGGCCTTTTGGGCATTGTGTTTGGTGATGTATCCAGGAGCATGCAGCATCGGAAGTCTCAGGAACTTGGAAAGAGGTAGCACAAGAGCTGGCTGTCAAGTAGAAATATGCAGAGGTGACAAGCTGATCTCACTTCCCCTGTGTTTCTTTTAGTGGAGCCGAAGGGTCAGGACTTAAACTCAGGCCTCTTATGAGGATGCCCTTAAGAGTGGTGCTAACAGGGAACATGTGTGAGCGGATCGTTGAAGGCAAACAAACAAACAAACAAACCAGGCTGCTAGGGTCCACGTGGGTGGTCTGTGACCTGATCTTCTTAAGTGGTGGCCAGAGCCAAGTTTAGGGTGGGTGATGTTCCAAGACGCTTTTGATGAACAGAGAGTCAGTGGTCTGCTTGCTTCTGGAGGGGATAATTAGTTGTAAATCTAAGGAGTTCTGGAAGGCTGATTGGTGATCTGGGTTAGAAATGGGACCTGGAGTATCATGGCACAGAGCAGCAGCCATAACGCCCTGGCTTTTGTAGGGCTCGTAGGCAAGAGGGAATGATTATAGCTAACTTTTACGGAGCCCTGACTACCTGCCATGCTGTTTTCTTGGCACTTGAGTTGCTGTTGCTCATTGAGTCTTGGCAACGGCCCCATGAGCAGGTACATTTATTATTTTCAGTTTATACATGATTCCATGGAGCTGCTAAGAGTCAGGTTTCAAACCCATACAGTAATTCTGGAAAAAGCCCTTGTTGACCATTTCCTAGAACATTTTCATGTCTTTTTCTTACTCCCTCTCCTTTTCTCCTTTCTCTGGCTGGCTGTGATACTGTAATTCTTTCTGATTCATTCCAGCACAGTTTGCTGCTTTTCTGAAACAAAATATGCTGGTGAGGAAAGCTCTTCCTCCCGGCACCTCCTCCTGTCTCTTTGGTGAGTATTGCTCTTCCTCTCACCTTTTCACGCTCTACTCTCTGCTTCTCTCCACTTCTTCCTTGTTTTCTTCCTCATCCTGCCTCTCATTTGTCTCTGGTTTCCTGCTGTTCTTTTCTCTTTTCCTTTTTCTGTCTTCTGATTCTTTTCTTGGCTGACTCCTTTTGCTTACTCCTCCATAGTATTTGCTTTTTCTCCATACTTTGTTTGCCTCTAATGGTTTTTCCTTTTTTGTCTCCTGTGGCTCTTGACTCTGCTTCTCCTGTATGTGCCTGTGGCCTATTGCCTGTGAACCTGAGTTTCCTTGTGTGTTTTTCTCCCTGCGCCTCTGGTTTCCTGCTTCTATCCTGGCCGCTACAAGCACACCAGCCATTTACCAGCATAAAACCTGTAGCTCCTTTCCCTTTTACCTGCCTTCCTATTCTGATTTTAGTCAGTGCATTTATTCCCTAAGCGATTCTTTTAGCTGGTTATACCCTGTGGCCTGGAGTAGCTCTCCGTGGCCCAGGCCAGGAGCCCCATCCCTGCCTGCCATCCTCATAGGACTATTGTTTTCCTCCCCACCCTACCCCTGATTGCCTATGCTAAAAAGAGGGCCTATGGTGGGCCTATGGTGGGTTTTATTTTTTTTTTAATGTTTTATTTATTTATTCGTAGCGACACACAGAGAGAGACAGAGACACAGGCAGAGGGAGAAGCAGGCTCCATGCAGAGAGCCTGACGTGGGACTCGATCCCGGGTCTCCAGGATCACGCCCTGGGCTGCAGGCGGTGCTAAACCGCTGTGCCACCGGGGCTGCCCGGCTTCTGGTTTTAATTTTTTTATTTTTTATTTATTTATTTTTTTTCGGCTTCTGGTTTTAAAGAGAAGGGAATCTCTAAGGAAGCCTGAAGGATAACTTCAGATTCCGAGAGGCTTGGCCATGTGCAAGATGAGTCTGTTTGATTCAGTGAAGGGGGAAGGCCATGTGTGAACAGTTGGCCTTTCTCTGTACTAGTACAAATGACCTGCGGACTACTTGTGACATGGGCCATTGTTGCCCTGTTGCTTTTGGGCAGGAGCAATAAAGTTGTCTTGGCTAAGATGCTCCTTTACCTAGTAGCTACTCAAAGCCAGCGTCAATTCCTGGCAATAATTCTTCTTGTTGCCTTCATTTGGCAACCAAACACTCAACCTTGGGCTCTTAGGACAGAGTAGGACTCTGAGAGCCTTGTGAAAATCTCCTCTGTAGAAAGGACGGGTAGTGTGCTCCTCTACTACTGCTTTGTGGGATGTTTCCTGTCCCCCAGCTATGTGATGTGGGGTGGGCCTGAAACAGGAAAATTACCACATTGAGTCCAGGAAGCATGGCTTCGATTCCTTGTAATGAGTCCTCTGTTGTTTGGCCTTCGGTAGGCAGGGTTAAGGTATCTTCTCCTTTCTTTTTGTTCCCACCAACTCAGAGCCCCCTACCTTCTGTCTCCAGAACAGGTTAAGGGATGGGGATGGGACCATCCTCTGAAAGGGCAAGGTGGCCTTGTACCACAGGTGGGACCTGAGTGAGGTGGGATTGAAGCATTGGCAGTTGCCTTTGAAGTGTGATTTTGTGTGTGACACATAGTCATGCCCATGCTGGTGCTGTCAGTGTCTCTTGGGCTTTTTTGGATTGTGGAAGACCTTACCGCAGGTCCATCTCTTAGTTCCCATTTCATCAGAACAAACGGAAGAGGCAGAGAAAGAAGATCTTAGGGTCCAGCTGAAGCGCCATCATCCCTCCAGTCCTCTTCCTGGCAGTAAGACCTCCAAGCGACCGAAGATTAAGGTATCCCTTATCTCCCAAGGGGACACAGCTGGAGGGCCTTGTACTCCTTCCCAAGGAGGAGTTCCAGAAGGTGAGTTTTTCTTGGCCTGTTTAAAAAAAACTGAGCTGTCTCAAACCACATAGCATTACTCTCTTGGTGACTACTTACTGTACAGCTGAGCCTCTGCTTCAGTGTAAGATGTGTCTGGAGCAAAGAGGACATGCGGTAGCACATGGGACAGACATGGACAGTGACCTGATCTAAGCTAGGATCGGGGAGGCAGAATGAGGATCAGAGGGAGCTCAGGGGTCATTCAGAGTATCATTATATTTTGTTCTTTACCAGTTTCAGTTAAAGATAAGAAAATATTCCAAGGATGCCTGGCTGACTCAGTTGGTAGGGCATGTGACTCCCAATCTCAGGGTTGTGAGTTTGAGCCCCTGTTGGGTATAGAGATTATTTAAAAATAAAATCTTAAAGTAAATAAATAAAATATACCAGAAAGTTTAAAAAATAGAAGAAAAATAGAACTCTCAACTCTCACTCTCCTACTCTACTGTACTTGATCTTCATTTTTCTTTGACCAATCTTTGTCCGTAATATTTTGCATTTAGCCTAGGTTGTGAAACTCTGAAAAGTAGGGGCCAGCCAGGACTGACTGGTGACCTTGGTGTTTTCTGTTTTGCAGCTGTGGGAGGGAAGCCCATCACCATGACGCTGGGGCAGGCTTCAGCTGGGGCCAAAGAGCTCACAGGGCTTCTCACCACCACCAAGTGAGTCTATTTCTTGGCCTCTCTGGCTCTGTTCCTTTCTTTCTCTTTACCTTTTTTCTGGTTGATTTAGTGCTTGGAAAGATGGTGGAGGTTGGATTTTGTCAGTTTGGAAATACGACTTCTTTCTTAGTGGGATCTTTGTCTTTTTTCGGGGGTTAGCTCAGAGGTTGGTTTTTGTTTTTGTTTTTGTTTTATTTAAAGTTTGCAGAGCATCCCATAGCTATTGCTTCAAGGTTTGGTTTGAAGTTTTAACTTAAGGCCTGACTTTCAGAAGGACTAGAGACTGAATTCGGAAGGTGGGACAAGGAAACTCTGGGTTCTAGTGTTCGTTACTATAAGCGTTGCTGGGCCCCACTCTGAACCCTTCCTGTGTTGCCAGCGCCTGTTGCCCTCTAACCTTTGGATAATAGAGCTCCTGTTTTTGTCTCTAGGTCAAGTGCTTCTGAAGGGGGAGTCTCAGCCAGCCCAGCCTCCTCAGTGTCCAGCAGCACAGCACCTGGTGCCTTGCACACACTCCAGAGCCGTCTGGTGGCCACTTCTCCTGGCAGCTCCCTCCCAGGTATCTGGTAGCTCAGCATTCTGAGCCTCCCAGCAAAGTCTCTTTTGGGTTGCTGCTGGAGGTGGTCCTGGGAAAGCAGCTGAATCTAAAGAATGTTCCCCTGAGTTGGCAGGCTTTCATAGAGGCTTGATGTGAAGCTGGAATTAACTTTGAGGTGGGGGAGTTTTTGGTTTTAATATTCACAGCGAGTATATACCCCAGTCTGCAGGTAGTATCTCTTGTACTATAAGGAAGAGAAATAGCTGGTGGGAGATGTGTGTATTGTGTTCATTGTGGTGTTTTTAAACATATCTGATTGCAGAAAACTGGGGATTGTGGTGTACTAGCATTAACAAAACATAAACCGGGCAGCCCCGGTGGCTCAGCGGTTTGGTGCCGCCTTCAGCCCGGGGTGTGATCCTGGAGACCCGGGATCAAGTCCCACGTCGGTCTCCCAGCATGGAGCCTGCTTCTCCCCCTGCCTGTGTCTCTGCTTCTGTGTGTGTGTGTGTGTGTGTGTGTGTGTGTGTGTGTGTCTCATGAATAAATAAATAAAATCTTTAAAAAAAAAAAAATAAACCGAGACACCTTTCTGCCTCTGCTTGTCTCCTTGCTTTCACCACCTCACCCTACATATGATGGCTGATTACCTGAGCCCAGAAGGGCCAAGGCTCTGGAGGTGTCCTCTTTCAGGAGTACCTCCCTCTTTGCTTTGTGGCCTCTCGACTGTGTAGTGAAATGAAATCAGGTATTTGGAATTCTTTTGGCTTAAGAAACTGTCCTTTTCCCTGGAAAGGATGGAATTTAGATTTCTGAAAAGTGGGGTTCAAGCTCTCTTCGGTTTTCCTAAAACTGTCTAAAACGTAAGACAGGTGGTTTGGAGCAGGTGGGGATATGTGGAGCAAACCCAAGGCAGTGTGTCTAGCAGAATACTTTTCTTCATGAGGGCATGCAGTGTGCATGCCCAGGGAGCCCTTCCTGGCATCTTTCTGAGAGCACTGGGGATGTCCCAGGAAAAGAGCAGTGGTACTTTAGTTGGCTGTGGAGGGTGGCTGAGTGTGGCTGTTCTTGGGATAAGAGATTGAGCCTATGCTGACATGTGTTATATCCTCTCCTAGGGGCCGCATCAGCCAGCAGCCTCCTTCAAGGCCTCAGCTTCAGCTTGCAGGATATCAGCAGCAAGACCTCTGGCCTCCCAGCAAACCCTTCCCCAGGGCCAGCTCCACAGGTGCACACCTTCCTCCCATGGGTCTGTGCAGGAGTTAGGAGGAGGCCTTCTCAGTTTAATTGGATTTGGCAGGGAAACTGGGTCTGGAGTCTGGGTCAAGACAGCCAGCCTTCTGACTTCACCCCCAAGAGCTACCAAAGGTTAAGGCTCCATCACTACTGTGTGACCTTGGGGAAGTTTTTTGGCTTCTCTGTATTTTTATTTCCTTGACTATGTAAAATTAGGGTAATAACAGTATTTCAAAGGTTGTTTTGAGGATTAAGTAAGATAGTATATGGAAAATGTGTGGAAGACTACCTTGCATGTAGTAGGTGCACAGTATAGGATAGCCTTTAATGCTATGGGCCCTCCACACTTGAATGTTGCTGTTAGGCAATAGCTTCTGATCACCTGGGCTTGTGTGTCCCACAGGCCACCAGCGTGAAGTTGCCCACCCCCATGCAGAGCCTGGGTGCCATCACCACGGGCACCAGCACCATTGTCCGTACCATTCCTGTGGCCACCACTCTCTCCTCCTTGGGAGCCACTCCTGGTGGGAAGCCCACAGCTATCCACCAGCTGCTGACCAATGGGGGCCTTGCTAAGTTGGCAAGCAGCCTCCCCGGCCTGGCTCAGATCTCTAACCAAGCATCAGGTGAGTCTCTCATAACAGCTGTGGGACTCTTAGATATGGGTCTTTCCCTAGGACCTTCCCATCTTATGTGAGCAAGACATGTTGTTGAACCCAACTCAGCAGGGTCCTGGTGTTGACCTCAAGGATTCGGCTGTGTAGGTCCATGCCCCAGAGAGGTTGGAAGAACACAGCTATTTCCTGTTGCCTTTTGGACTGACTGATAACGTGGAGCTGACCCAGCCGGGGAGGATACTGAGGCGGGAAGCCAAGGGGTGGGGTATGATGTGAAGAAATTCTGCAGGAGAAGAAAGTGGAGGCTATGACTAAAACCCTTCCTTCCCCCTCTCTCTGTCAGGGTTGAAGGTCCCTACCACCATTACTCTGACACTGCGTGGCCAACCGAGCCGAATCACTACGCTGAGCCCCATGGGCTCGGGAGCAGCCCCAACAGAAGAGCCCAGCTCCCAGGCTCTGCCCTCCAGCTCACAGGTGAGTCTGCCTGGGAGACTGAGGACATGGGCTCCAGTGTTGGGAAATTTGGGGGCCAGCCACCTGGCCAATTGGAGGAGCTGCTGGTGCACTGGACTTGTAGGCGTATCAAATTCAGATCTAGACCTGGGGCCTTGTAGCTTTGTGACTTTGAGCAAGCCATGGACCTCTTTGGGTCTCCTCTTCCAAAGCACTCCCTGGGTTGTTGAGAGGGATTAAATATGTAACTGTGTTCGGAGGTGTAGGGGTGCTCAGGATTTCAGTTTTGTTTGCTTTCCCTCTCCATTCCTTTTCTCTTCCCATTCTTGGCTTCATCAGTCAGAGGTTGGTGAGGCTACTTAGTTCATTACAGCCTTTCTTTGACCAGCTGTCCAACATTGTGCCATTCTAGCCGTTGGCATTTACTGCCATCTCTGTAGAACATGCTAGATTTCTATCATTTTTTTTTTTTTTTGGTTTCTATCATTCTTAACCACAGAGACCACCAGTTCCTTGTAGCTGATCTGATTTCCATTGTGACCTTTTCATGTAAAATGTTTCTTATGTTAAAGGGTGAACTGAGAGCCACCCCAAGATGAGAGGTAAGAGAAAAAGAGTTGGGAGTCCAGTGTTGGGTGTGCTTTCCTTCACTCTTCAGTTTCAGCCCTGGTCTTCCCTGTGGGGGTGAGGGTGCTGTGCAGGCTGCTGTGACTGAAGGCCTGGTCCTGTTCCCATCACTGCCACCACACCGGTCCTGTTTGTGAGCTGAGGGATGGGCTCCTTTCTGACACGTGACAGCTCCCAGCTGTTCCAGACCATGTTCTGGCTCCTCCTCTTTAGAGGAGAATACAGAGATTGTTCCCTGGCTCTCATTGGGATCATAGTTAGCTCTCCCTACATTTTTTGGAGAAAAGTGGAGGTGTTTTTCTTTATTTACTGTTAATTTTTTTCTATTACAAAAGTGATTATACTTATTCTAAATACTTCAAACATTAATGAAATAACATAATTTAGAAAGGGAAAATTTCCCATGATATCGCTCCCAGAGATGATATACACTATTAATAGTTTGATTTGCATTCTTCTAGATTTTTCTTGCTATTCAAAGTATGTTATTTTACCGGTTTTCTGTTTTGTTTGTGTGGTGGTTTTGTTTTGTGTGTTTTGTTTTTTTACAAAAATGGAATCACAGAATATGGACTATTTTGTAACTAGCCTTTGTTTACAACACTTGTTGTGACATGTTTCCCTGTGGGTTACATAGTAACCTATCTTCTTCTTGTCAGTAGCTGCCTCCTGTTTCACTGGGTGGATGTATGAGAGCGTATTTCACCATCTCTTGTTAGATAGAGAGTTAGGCTGTTTTGCTTTTGACACAGAAAATAATGGTTCAGTAAACATCCTTGTTCCTGGGTTTTGTGTGTTTCTGAGAGATTTCTACAGTCTAGAGACTAGTAAGTGGAGGGTATGTGAATCTGACATCCGGCTAGTTGCTGGCTAATTGACCTTCAGAGGTTCTGCTGGTTTACAGTTGAAGCCACAGTGATGATAATACCTATTTTCATATGTCTTTGTTAGTTATGGAAATCAGTATTTTAAATTTTATTAATTTGATGGATGAAAAATGAAATTGTTTAAATGTGTATTTTCCTGATTACTTATGAGGTTGTATGTCTTTTATAAATTGCTTATCATATTCTGTCTCTACTTCCATTTATAGCAACTTTATACATTCAGATGTTAATCTTTTATCTATTACACAAGTTGTGTATTATACTTTAGTCAACTGCTTATCTTTTTTCTTTCTTTTTTTCTATTGAAGTATTAAGTGCTTATCTTTGATACTTGTTCTATACATTAAAAATTTGTATGTATTAAATCTTCAAATCTATCCCTTTATAGCTTCAAGTTTTTGTGTCTTAAGAAAGCTCTTCCCTGGGACACCTTGGTGGCTCAGCAGTTGAGTGTCTGCTTTCGGCTCAGGGCGTGATCCTGGGGTCTAGGATCAAGTCCCGCATTGGGCTCCCTGCGAGCAGCCTGCTTCTCGCTCTGCGTATGTCTCTGCCTCTCTGTTTGTCTCTCATGAATAAATAAATAAAATCTTAAAAACAAAAAGCTCTTCCCGTTGCAACAATATAATCTTTTTGTGTTTTCTTTTTTATATATTATTTTTTAAATTGTAAAACATACTTATGTACAATTTATCATTTTGCCCTTTTTTAGGCTTATAGTTCAGTGGCATTAAGTATATTTATTTTACAACCATCACTACCATCCATGTCTAGAACTCTTCATCATTCCACACTGAAACTGTTTTTACATTTTCTTATAATGCGTTTGTTTATTTACCTTTAGTTTTTCAGTCTACTTGGAATTTAGTTTTCTATGCTAAATAAGGTAAGGATCTAACTGTATTGAAGAGTCCATTCATTCTTCCCCTATTCATTTGAAGTCTGCTGTACTTACATTCTCAGTTACTACACATATGTAGGCCTTTTTTTGTACCCCATACCCATCTGTTCTCACTTTAGTTTTATATAATTGTTTGATAATGCAAGTCTTCCAGTTAAGCAAGTGTCAAGTATGTTTCTGGAATCCAGATTCAGTAGCTTATCCAATATGTCCTATTCTCTTTTTCATATATACTCCAGTATATTTGTGTTGTGTACACGTAGGAAACAAAACCTAATCAAAAGAGAACAAGAGAAAAAAAGAAGTCAAGTGTTTCAGAAAGAAAACATATCTACTCTTTGGATTCGCTTTTATTTTACTTAGGATTTTGGTCTCTTTGTGTTTAATGTGAGATTGGCATATACTTTTCTTCCCATCCACCTCTGCTTTTGTGTGAATGTGCTGTCCTTGTCCAGTTGTATAAAGGGGTTAATTCTATCCTTACAGAGTGAGATGGAGGCGTTTTTTTCTCATATTCTAAAACATACAGTGCAGAAATTCTGAGTTCCTTGACAGCTTGTTGGCAGTTATAAAGCTTTTTGGGCCTATTTGCAGGTAGTCTTGACCTTTGCTGATACCACATTGATGATATGGTTCAACTAGAACACATATCCCCACCATGTGATACCTTACTCCTTTGTTAGTGGTCCTCTTCAGCTTGCTGCAGCCTGGGGGAGCTAGTTGAGAAGAGGCTAGATAGAGCTCATTGAGAAATCATTTTACATGGGTAAATTGAAGCACAGAATAAAGATCAAGACCTGACTTCTGACCTGGTGGTATTAACTTGAGAGCTTAGTTTTTATAATTACTAGGAGGGTTCTAGTGGTGATTCTCTTGTTGCAGAGAAAGGATTATTAGATTAAGATTTTCTGACTCTGAAGTATCTAATGGTTATCTCAGTGTTCATACTACCAGACTGTGTGAAAAGAGCTATGGGTCAGACCCTCTGTCTTTAGCCAGCTGTGCAATCCTGGGCAAAAATCACCTATTCTCTCTGGGTTTTGTTTTTCTTATCTGGTCTAGTGAGGAGGTTGGCTTGAGTTAGTGATTATTGTGGTTGGATTGATTAATAGGAGCTGTCTAGGAATCTCCTCAGACTTTCAGAAGTTGAAATTTTATTTCATATTTTTGTTTTTATTTTTTTAAGATCTTATTTTTAAGTAATCTCTCCACCCAACGTGGGGCTTGAATTCATAATCCTGAGATTCGAGAGTTGGGATACCTCTACCAACTGAGCCAGCCAGGCGCCCTAGGAAGTTGAATTTTTAAATGTTAAGAAACAAACCACCCATTTATGATGTTTATGAGACAATTGGAAATATGAACATTGGGTAATTGTTGGTATTAAGGAATTGTTAACCTTTTTATGTGTGATGATGGTATTTATATTGGAAAAAATAATCCTTTTTTAGTTTTGGGTTGCATACTACGATATGGATAGAATGAAAAAGAAGAAGATTATAAACACTGGCTAGACTTCCCTAAGGTTGTGCAAGTACTTAATTATCTGTTTTGTTTCTGGCACTGATAAATATTTACTGTGTGTGTCTTTTACGGAACTGGACTCTTATGTATTCTTTACAGCTGAAAAGCTGTCCGAGAAAGATAAGAGACAGAGACTGTGTTGTGTCCTGCATCAGAGTCCTGAGTATGGACTCCTTGCCTGTGGTCTTTTTCCCCTCGGGTCACACTGTGGTCTGCCCAGCCAGGGGGCATGCATCCCTGCCACCCTCGCAGTGGCCCCTGGGCAGGCAGACTCACTTTCTCAGTTGTATTCCTAATCAGGACCACAAATAAAATCTGTGTACAGACCTGCCTTTGGGCAGGGTGAACAAATGTAGGCAGATCCTTTAAGGTTTGATTGTCAAACCCTCTCCTGTGCCCTCCATCTTCCCCCATTTTCTGCATTCTCAGAGACCTCCTAGGAATTTTACAAAGGTGAAGTCTAGAAAACTGGAGAAAACCCTGGTGAAAAAAGGCCAACTCTTTCTACCTTACTTTTTTTCCCTAAGCTACAGGGCTCAACAGTTCATGGCATCCATCCTCCGTAACAACTAAAAAATGGGTAAGACCTAAAAACCAATGATCATAGAAAACTTCCCTTCCACTCTGTCACTCTTAACAGTTCAGTCTTTTTCCCTGCATTTTCTTCCTTGCCTTATGCATAATAATAAGAGCTAACCTTTGTAGTTGAACTCATTATACTTGAGGTGCTTTATGCAGATCATCTTATTTGATCTCACAACATCCCTGGGGAGTAATGTCTGTCATTACTTTTTTTTTTTTTAAGATTTTATTTATTCATGAGAGACACAGATCGAGAGAGAGAGAGAGAGAGAGAGAGAGAGAGAAAGAGAGACAGAGACACAGGCAGAGGGAGAAACAGGCTCCATGCAGGGAGTCGATCCTGGGTCTCCAGGATCACACCCAGGGCCAAAGGCAGCACTAAACTGCTGAGCCATCCGGCTGCCCTGTCATTACGTTTTATAGATAGGGAAAAAGAGGCTCAGAGAGCATTCATCACTTGCCCTAAAAAGTGGTAGAGGTGGGTCTCTGACTGCAGAGTCCACATTCTGGTAGTCACTTGGCTGCTAGGTCCCTTATGCATTCAGTTTTTTCCCATATCGAGAATTACTTCTTTGGAATAAATTCTCAGGAGTTGGAGTGATTGGGTCAGAGGTCCTGGGTGTGCTAACCTGGCAAAGTTTTAACTCCTATTTCCTCCTTCTCCTGCATAGCGCCTGCCTCCAGGACCCTGAAGATGCCATGCGATATAGCCTCCTTTACCAGGTTGGTGATGGCTGCCGTGCAGTGAGCCCTGGGCACATGTGCTGTTCTGCTGAGCCGTCCACTTGTCTGAAGACCTCTTAAGACCTCCATTTTTGCCTCCCTGCCATCTGTCTTCAGAATGGGCCTCAGGGTCTCGTGAAACCATTAGGCTAGGTGATACAGCACCAGCAAGGGGAACACTGTCCTCTGGCATCTATGGGTCTGTGTCCTGGAATCATCAGGTTTCTCTGCAGATCTGGCTGTGCATGAATCAGAGGCACTTCTTCTCCGGCATTAGCTGTGACTTGACCCAAGTAGCAGTGTTGGACTGCTTACTACATTCAATAAAGGAGTTCCTTTGGGAAGTGTGTGCCGCCCCCGTGCCAAGTTGGGAGGAGATGTCCACATGCTCTGGGGCTTTTAGGGAGTTAGAATTGAGAGCCTTTTGCTGAGGACCAGACCATCTTGGCCTACCAACAGTTGTGCAGTACCAGAGGGCTGGTTTCGGACATCACTGTTGCTTTCCCTGAGCAGCCATGGGTGAATGTGCCCCATGAAGCTTCTCCCTCTTAAGAACCACATCAGATACTGAGTAACCTGCTGAGACCTGGGCACTCCTAAGTTCAAACCCATGATAAAGTAAAGAGGACTGGGCTGTTATCTTTCAATCCCTTTGGTCACTATAGATGGGGAGCAGCTATTGCCAGGAAGTGAAAGATGGCCTGGCCACTTTCTTTTTTTTTCATCATGGCTTTGGGGATTTCCTCTATTCAGAAAACTTACAGGTCTAGAAAGGCTGAAGAAGAGGAATGGAACAAATGGAAGTGGCTTAAAGGATGTGCCAGTAAGTTCTGTGGAGAAAACTTGGTGCATGAGGCTTTGCACCTAGTATTTAAGGAACTGTTGATTCGATATGGAGATGAGAAGAATTTGCCAAGTTACAGGGAAGAAACCCCAACCCCTGAAATTGCCATCTCCAGTGCTTGGAAGTGAAACGGAAACAGCTAAGTTAACATCTTGCCTGTCCCAGGAAGTTCTGACATCAGGATGATCAAGGCCACGCTTTAGTGTTTCTATTTCCATTCCATGCACCTTCTTGTCTTCTTGCTTAGAATTGGGAAGGTTATTGGCATTGACTCTACTGTGTGGGGCTTTTGGTACCAGCCTGAGCCCTGGAGAAGTGATCACTGAAGATGGAGCTCTGAACCCCTCTTTACGTCCTCACAATACTAGTACACCAAAGTAGTTTTAGATTTGGTGTCATACCTGTCCTCCAGATCAGGTTGCCTGCCCTTCCGTACTCTACAATGTTTCCAGTCAAGGTGACAATAAATAGAGCAACCCAGATGTGACTCTAACTCTGTTCAGTATCTGTAGGCAGGAGGGTCCACAGCATGCCATAGCAGTGGTCCAGGGTCCTCACCAGTGGTGTAACATATATGCAAACCAGGCTGTCTGTCTGAAGTCCAGGAGCTTAACCTGCCTGTCTTACTGGAAGCCAGGAGAGAGAACCTCTTGTGTAGGAGTCTGAGACAAGGCAGAAAGGGGTGCTGTGGGCAGGGAGGGGGTATGTGTGATAGACATAGAGCATCCTGAACACCAGGCCCTCCCTCCCTGACCTCCTGCAGAGCTGGTCTCAGCAGTGATTTGCACAAAATTAGCTTTTTTTTCTCTCATTAGCTGGTAGGTAACTGTTTTCAGAAATTCATTTAGTACGTTTGAGGAAGATAAGAACTCTGAAAGAGGCATCCGTGGGTCAGGGGTTTAGTAGCTTTACAGGTAGGATTATACAACAATAGAAACCAAGGACAGTAAGACTGAGACGTGAAGCTTTTAGGAATCGTTTAGGACAGGCAGAGGGTCCTGAACAACTCATTCATGGCTTAGGAGTATGGCCTAGACCGTGCTAGAGTGGTTGCTTCTAAAAGATGCTGGCCTAGTCTATGCTGGGGCCAAAGGAGAAACTAATGCATTGTCCTGTGTTTGTGTAAACCCTATTACGCTTTCCATGGATGAGGCTTGAGTTGTACACCTTGAAGAAAGCCAAACCTGTAAAGGGGAGTTATAAGAACATTGACTCGTGTTCACCTTGGAGGGACAGGCTAAAGGGGGAGGTGGTTGAAGTCCACAGAGTTATGTTCTTCAGCTCCACACTTCTGCACCCAGTCTTCTCCAAATGTGAAAGGAAGCTTCTACCTATCATGAGTCAGACCTGGAGTCCATAACCTCAGAAGGCAATACTACTGGCTGAGAATGTAGAAGGATCAAGAAAGCTTTAGTTAAATTCTTGACATTCAACATGACAGGTGCATGTTGATGCCCTATGGAAGATGTCCTTGTGCTTTAAGAAGAGGTCACTGATGGAGGAAGATCTCCTACCTGTTCTTGGCTTTACCGGTAGAACAATCTTGGGGTGGGCGAGTTACAGAGCTGAGCTGTCTCGATTCTGTTCTTACATTAGCAAAAACAATTTAAAAAATAAAAGCAACTTTGGATTTCTTCAACTTGTCTTAAATTGACTTCTCATGTTTGTTTTGATAACCACTCATTGAAGTGGCACAGAAAATAGAAGCTCAGGTCCTGTGGTCATGCCACATAGGGCTCACTGATGCCCTATGCCATGAGGTGGGTACAGGCGAGGAAACAGAGGCACAGAGAAGTCAAACAGCAGGAAGTGACAGAAGCAGAACTACAACCAGGCAGTCTGCTGCCACTGTCCATTCTCTGCACTGTGCTGAGGTTCTGAGATGGGACACAGGAATGGACATTAGCCCAGGAGGTGAGATGATGCCTTCATGTGATCTCTGCAGCCCTGGGGGGTACTCTCAGCTGGGCCTGAGTTAGTAGTTAGGTCCCTTGCCCTTGGTCCTGAGAGGCTGAAATCCCTTTGTACATCTGTACCTCTACCCGGTCTAGTAAATAAATAAAGATTTGGAGATGAATCAATGAATTCCAACATCCAGATTATTTGTGAACTTATATCCACGAGGACCTATCTTCCTGTCCTTGAATTCCAGGTCCCTCCATTTAGCATTGGGCCCTCTTTGGGTTGAAGCCATAGTTCTGGTAGACTACTTGGAGTGTCCTAGTGCCCGTGGGCTCATCTTGCTACTGTCTGTTGTAGAGACCGGGTGCTTGCTTTCCCTTCCAACTCTAGTTTTGCTGACTTGGGTGAGTCAGATGAAATGAGAAAAAAGTTTAGATTATTCAAGTGATAACTATAAAGTTTCAGGAGTATAGGGTCATAGCAAATTATAATGCAGAAAGATTTTTGTTACCTTGTTATCTCCCTCAAGCTTATGTTTTTGTCCTGATGGATGGTTGCAAGAAGCAGAAACCATTCACCACCAACATTAGTTTTAAAGGCATGTGCTTTTAGTAGGCATTCAGACAGGGAGCCTGACAGTTTCTGCTACTTGCCTTGTGACGTTAACTGCCGTGCACCTGCCAGTGCCTGGTTTTGATCCTGCCACCACAGGAGTTTGCAGCTATAGGGCCCACTGTGGAGATAACTGGTCTTTTGGGTCTCATTCTGAATGTGGTAAGCCTAGTTGGTTGAGCCTGCATTCCTCTCTGTCCCTAACTCTGTGCCCAGGCCACTTCCTCTCTTGTCTCAGCGACCTCCTCCTCCTGCATGCTAGCTTCTCTCACAGTGCTGTGCCCTGTGCCAGAGATCACTCTTCCCTTTGCTACTTTCCTTATCCTCTGGGATTGAGCTTGTATGCATCACTTTGCTGACATAGGCAGTTAGTTGTTATGTGCTCCTGGCTACGCATTACTACCTCCAAAACATTGGGTTACATTTGATGCATTTGCAGATCAAATCTTTCCCAGAGGGGGGATCCCTGGGTGGCTCAGTGGTTGAGCGCCTGCCTTTGGCCCAGGGTGTGATCCTGGAGACCGCGGATCGAGTCCTGCATTGGGCTCCCTGCATAGAGCCTGCTTCTCCCTCTGCCTGTGTCTCTGCCTCTCTCTCTCTATGTCTATCATGAATAAATAAAAAATCTTAAAAAAAAAAATCTTTCCCAGGCTTGGCCTGGAGAGGTCAAGGTCAGAGTCGGATTTTCTGCCTCTAGCTTACTGTGTGGCCCTTGGTGGGAGTCCAGTAAATGCTGGATGAGTGGCTATGGGCCATCGGCCCAGCTGTGCCTGCTGTCCTCCTGCAGAGAAGTCCACAGAGTAAAGTCCTGGATGCCATTTCTCGTCTTTCAGGGAACATTAGAGAGAAGAGAAGGCCCTGCCCCAAATTCACACAGAATAGTGCAGTTCACCCAAGGGACCAACATGCTGCTTGGAACCCAAATGTAGGAAACGAGGCCTTAACTCAGCCTTCCTCCAGCTCACCAGTTACCACCGTGGGTGCCACCCCCTTTCCCACCTGTGGAAAACCTACACTTCCAACACTGTTTGACTTCGTCTCCTCCTCCATCCCTTTTCATTCCTTCTCCTCCCTTACTATGTAATAACTACCTTCCTCAGCACTCTGGCATATCAGTTGTTTCCATCTCCAGCCACTGGAGTTAGGTAAGAGCCAGAATCACTGTTCCCACTTGACAGATGGAGAACTAGGTCAGGACCAAGGTTAGGACCAGGGCCTGCCTTGCAGGGAGAATGTGGAGGCAGCCTGAATCGAAGCTTCTCTCCCAGGACATCCGGACTCCCTGTGGAGAGCACTTTGTGAAGGATGGGATGGCCCAGCTTGTGAAGGAGGGAGCAGTCCTCAACATTAAAATGAGGGGCAAGGAAGATCCTGAGCAGGTTGGGAGTGGGCCCAAACCCTGACCAGTCTCTACCCCAGGACTCCTCAAGGGGAGAGACAGCACTGCACACAAGTCACAGGAACCATTTAGGGGAGTGAGAGAAGGGCAAGTGAGCCCAGGTGCTGAGTGGGTGAGCGAACACAGTGTTGCAGTAGATGAGAAGAAGCCTATGAAGAGAAGATGGTGGAACATGGAGCCCTACTTGCCCAGAGAGCCCCCTTGAGCCCAGAAATGTGGGAAGAGATGGCACCAGATGGAAAGTGCTTGGTGTTTACACAGGGTTAGCACCCTGAGGTTGGGGCTCCACGAGAAAGTGCGCCGTCCTCAGCCTCCAATCTTCCTTGGCAGTTACAAATCTCAGGCTGAGATGGGGTTGGCCCAGACTTGGCTCGCTCCTCCCCACAGCAGAGCGTGGAGAAGTGGGGAGTCCCTAGGAGTGGCTCTACCAGGGTCAAAGAAGCAACAACAGGAAGGGAGACATGGAGCAGAGAGCTGTGGAGGGAAGAGAGACATGAGGGAGACATGAGGAAGCACCTTGCAGGGACCCAGCCAGCACACCCTTGCTTTGAATTCTCTGCTTCTGTCTGAGTTTCTGAGAGCAACTGGTGAGTTTTCAGAAAAGGAAAGTGGGCTGGAGATGCACCAGGGATATGGGTCCCAGGATCCATCCAACCTATTGTCCCCCAGTCCACCTCCCTCCACCCGACATGTTCCCCTCTTCCACCCCAACATCTGCATTGCTCCTGGTGCCTCCCTCCCTGGGCACAGGTGACTCCTAGGCTTTGGCCTCCATTCCTCAGAACTTCTAACGGGGAGAGTATCCCTGTCTATGATATGAGAGCGTTGGATTTAGATTAAAACTCCAAAGGGAATTGGGGAAAGGGGATTTGGTCCCCTTATCCGACCCTCTACCTGAGATCTAGAGGCCTGAGGCTGAGGTGTGAAGAGTGGAGAACCAGTTCCAGCCCTGTGACTCTGAGGCCCCTGTCCTCTGCCAAGGTCCTGTCCTGGTCAGGTTACGGGCACCACAGGTTCCAAGGCCAGGGAAGGGTACTCGGGGCTGAGGAAAGTCATGGGAGGGAACCTGAGCTGAGCCAGGAGCCTGACCTGGATGGAGCAGGCAACTTAGTGGGTGAAAGAGCTTGTTGTCCCAGGGGAGAGCACGGTGGGTTCTGGGTGCCCTGGGCAAGACCTGAAGGACTGCAGAAGGGGACTGCAGAGAGGAGCAGGGGTCTCCCAGGGATCCAGATGAGCTGCCCTTCCTATGACCCAGAAAAGCATTCTGCCTAGAAGGATACTGCAGGGCTCCAGGGGCAATGTGGAAGTATGATGTCCGGAGTGGTCTCTTCACTGTCATCAGAGATCCCCTTCATCTTGGGGCACTCACTTTGAATCCTATTGACCCCCAGGGCCAGATAGGCCCAAAGACATTTCTTTGTTTTTTCTTAGAACAGCTGAAGCAAGCTTGCATTTTCTTCCTTTTTTAAGATTTTATTTATTGAGAGAGAAAGTGAGAGACATAGGAACCAGATCCTGCACTGAGCAGGGAGCCCTATGCGGGATGCAGGGGGGCTCCGTCCCAGGACACTGGGATCATGACCTGAACCGAAGGCAGACACTTAACTGACTGAGCCACCCAGGTGCCCTAAGCCTGCATTTTCAAAAGGAAGTTAATTAGCATTGAAAGGGAGAATTTGGAGATGGCAGAAAACATGGCTTGTACCCACAATTTCCACAATTTCCAAAGCAGGACTTGTGCCCTCACAGTCAACCCATTCTGGCCCCTGGACTGGGTGGATGTGTGGCCCTTGGCCTGGAGCGGAGCTGCCGCAGCCCCTGCCTGTCTCCACCTGCCATCGTGCTCTTCCCTGTGCTCTGGGGATGTCGTCTGGGACACACTATTCTGGAAGGTCAAGGCCCTTCCCTTCCCTTCCCCTGCCACCCACTTGGCTCCTACAGATGTCCAGTTGGTTGAGGCGCCCTGTGCTGGCAACCTTATCCCTCTAGGTCAGAGCCAGGCCATCCTTACTCCTGCGGCTCCGTTAACCACCAGTCCTGGGATGGGGGAGAGGGGTGCTTCTTACTCTAGTGGGCCCTCCAGCGAGACCGCCTCCCGTAGCTTGTCCGTAGCCTTCGCCTTCCTGGAGGTCCCCCAGCGCCGGGTGGAGGGCTGGTAGGAGCTCTCGTCACTCGCTGGGCCCTGCCAGCCCTGGGAGAGGCCCAGCAGGGCCCGGGTCTGGCGGAGGAAGCTGGGGCTGGAGAAGCAGTAGAGCACAGGATCCAGGACGCTGTTGAGGTAGGTGAAGGCCAGGGAGCCATGGAAGAGCTGTGTGCACACGGCCAGGGAGTGGCAGGCACGCAGGCGGAAGGCCACCATGGAAGCCAAGCCAAAGATGACGCTGGGCAAGAAGCAGACGGTGTAGACAGCCACCACCACGGCCAGCATGCGCACGGCTCTCTGTGGGCCCGCCTGGCCACCCAGGCTGCGGCGCCAGATGGTAAGCCCGATGCTCACGATGGCAAAGAGGATGAGCGCCAGCGGCAGGAAGAATTCCAACAGGAACAGTGCCTGGTGCCAGCGGGCTGAGGCCGAGGGCTTTGCTCCCAGTTTGTAACTGAGGCAGGAGTGGTCGGTGTAGGCGGCCAGGAGCAGGTGCCCGTTGAGGAGCAGGATGCTCCCCCAGAGCCCCGCGGCCACCTTGGTGGCAGCCCACACGGACACCTGGCTCAGCACGTGGTGGGGCCACACCACCTTCAGGTAGCGGTTGAGGGCGATGGCCGTGAGGAAGACCACGCTGGCCGAGCGGTTGGTGGACAGCATGAAGAGGTTGAGCTTGCAGATGGTGGCTCCGAAGCGCCAGTGCTCGTGCAGGAAGTAGTAGTCCACGCGCAGGGGCAGGTTGATGATCAGGAGAAAGTCAGCAACGACCAGGCTGACCAGGAACACCGTGTTGGAAGTCCAGGGCCGTGTGTGGAAGCAGAAGATGAAGAGAGCCAAGCTGTTGCCCAGCAGGCCCAGGACAAACTCCACACCCAGGATTGGCGCCAGGAAGGCAGACACCATGTGGGAAGAGGCTGGGAGGCAGGAACCCAAGGCCTCTCCGGGGGCCCCCAAGTCTGTGGTGAAGGCAGAAGGAGTTGAAGATAGGAGGGGAGGGAGGGAGGCAGGGAGAGTGGAGGGAGGGAGAGTGGAGGGAGGAAGGGAAAGGAGGGGAGAGGAAGAGCTCAGGTTATGAGATTCCATGGGCTGCTTGGGCCATGGACCTGAGAGAAGCTTCCAGGCTTCCTACCCTGCGAGATGTTCAGGGCAAAGTGGAATGATGCTATCAGCTGGCCACCACAATGACTCAATATCCTGGGGTTTTCATCAGCATCTTTGCAGCCACTGAGAAACACCCAGCATTTCTGTTTACAGGCAAAGGGGAACACCTTCAGCCCTTCTTCCCCTCTCCCTGCCCCCACCACTGAGTGACCTGGCCACAGAGGTTGCTGAAGGGGGGTGGGGGGAGTCTGTGCTGCCCCTGGCAGAGGAGGAGAACAGGGCTCAGCAGGGGTGAAACAGAGGCCCAGGGAGACCCTGAGGTGGGAGGGAGGCCCAGCTGGGGTGAGGTGGGGAAGAGTGTCCGCAGCCCTGAGGGGTCACACATTTGCTTGCCTGGAGGCTGGAGCTGGTCCTGGCCACGCATAGCTCTCGGCATCACGCAGGCCACCCTATACTCCCTTACTTACCCCCATCATATGGACAGACTGAGCGGCTGCCTCCCTGCCCCCACCAGCCCCGGCAGCAGGAAGTGTGGAGCCAACAGGACATTGTCCCAGTCCAGCCGACACAGGGACCATGGTGCTCACGGCCTCGTGGAATAAGCCTGTTGGTGGCCTGTCAGCCTGCTGTAGTTACTCCCAGATCCCCGATGGCCCGAAGTCCATGTGCACCACGAAAGGCCTCCACACGTGGAGGGCTCCCCTGCCAGTTTCTACTGACCTGGGACCAGGGGCTTCTCCCCCAGACAGAACAATCCTGAGAGCCTCTGAAATGCCCCATCCACCGTCTGCTCCACCTATCCCCACCCGCCCTTCGCTACAGACAGGGCAGTAGAGGCCAGGGATGTCTTCAGACAAGACGCAAGTCCTGCTGTCCACTGTGAGGTGTTCTCAGGAGCCCATGGGGCCTCAGGCTCCCGATGACCTGGGACAGCACCAAGGGAGGCTGCAGTTCCAGGCTGTAGGACCTGACAAGACCCGCCTCGCCAGCTGGGTTTTAGGCACAGGGGCTGTTGGCCTCTTTCTCTCTCAGAGCCTCCGGGCCTCTCCTCCATCCTGGACTCCTGTTGGGCCGAGGCTGAGGGAGACAGGCTGGGACAGGCTGTGACCAAGAGGTGCAGGGTGGTGAGACCACCAACCTGAGCTCTGAATGCAGACAGGCCTTGATTGGAAAACAGCTGCTTGTTTCCTAAACCTCTTAGGGAATTCTCTAGCACAGAGCTAATGTTCAGAAAAACGGCAGATCTAATTTTCATTATTTTCTCAGGTTAGGTCTGCCCTGGGCACGAGGGACAAGCTTGTCTTGTCATGGCTGCCTGGCCCCGTGCAGGGGACCTCCCTGGGACATTCCCGTGTCCTTGGCTCCTGCACAGAGCAACACCCTCCTGCAGCCCTAGTTCTCAACAGCCTCTGCCTTCACGTCCTGGGCTGGGGGAATCTGGGGGCACCTTGCAGGGTTTCTGAATTAGGAGAGGAATGCCTAAAAAAAAAAAAAAAGAGAGAGAGAGAGAGAGAGAGGAATGCCTTAGGGGTGGAGAGGTGGGGGTGCAGCCCCTGACACCCCTTAGGACGGAAACCCTTTCAGAAAGCCAGGTTCCCATCTGCCCTCCAGTGGAGCAAATCAAAACAGTGAGCTGCCAGGCTGCAGTGGGGGAAGGCAGGGTGTAGATCCCACCGTTTCCAGAGGAAGCTTTGACTCTAACCGGGGACCTACCCATCCAGATCCAGCTTCCATTACTCACACATGTGACCCCTTCTGGATTTCTCCCTGAAGTCCCAGGAAACCGAGCTCTGATTTCCACTGTAGGCTCCAGGTTTTGTCTCTACCCACTGCTGCCTCTGGGGCTCCCAGCACTCCTGGACTCCGAAGTGTGCCCAGGAGCCCTCTGAGTCTTTGGACACGGTGCCTGTATCTAGCAGGGGAGCAGACATCTGCCCTGCTGCCAACTTTGGTAATCATGATCTTCATGTGCTAACATGGGTTAACTCGGGGGTGGGGTGGATCCTGTGTTTTTAAGTATTTTTGTTTTCTGCAATTAATACACATCACTTTTTACTGGGAAGAAAACCTAACAGGTGGTATATTTAAAAGTCACATAAGGGCAGCCTGGGTGGCTTAGCGGTTTGGTGTTGCCTTAGGCCTAGGGCGTGATTCTGGTGACCCAGGATGGAGTCCCGCATCGGACGCCCTGCATGGAGCCTGCTTCTCCCTCTGCCTGTGTCCCTGACTCTCTCTCTCTCTCTCTGTCTCTCTCATGAATAAATAAAAAATAATAAATAAAATAAAATAATAAAATAAAATAAAATAAAAGTCACATAAAAAGAACACCTGAGTGGCTCAGTGGTTGAGCATTTCCCTTCGGCCCAAGGCATGACCCCGGGGTCCTGGGATCTCCCACATCGGGCTCCCCTCATGGAGCCTGCTTCTCCCTCTGCCAGTATCTCTGCCTCTCTCTCTGTCTCTCATGAATAAATAAAACCTCTAAAAAAATAAAAGTCACATAAAAAGAATAAATGGGAAAGATAAAGAGGTAGAGGGACGCTATGAGCTGTGCCCCCAGGACATGCACAGGAGTCTGAATGGATGGGCCACACACACAGTGAAGGGAGCCCCCGTTACAAGTAGAGACACCCAATAACAGACGGTCCACATGTCTACATTGACATGGTGCCCCTGACACACACACACACACACACACATACAGAGTCACAGGAGCACATGGGGTCTGCCATTGATATGCATGCAGACATACAGGTGTTTGTCCACCAGGAAGCCTTTATTGGGGGCCTTCTCAGTGGCAGGCAAATGCTGCACTGAGCCTGTGGGGACAGAGGGATGGAGAGCAGCCCAGCCTCTCGGCTGAGAGGACCAGAGGAGGGTGGATGGTGATGTCCAGGGCTCAGCGTTGGGGACACTGAGTGGCACAGCAGCAGTACGTGCAGAAGCAGAGAGGGCAGGGGAGTGATGGGGGGAACACTGTGGCTGCTTCAGGGCCGCATCAGGAGGATCAGCCCAGGGGCTTCTTGCGCGTGGGGTCCTGGGTCACAGCCAGGGCCACAGAGCCTCGCCCTCGCTCCCAGGCATACCTGTGGAGACACAGGTGGGCAGGGGTCAGACAGGTGGGCCCTGAGGATCCCAGGGAAAGGAGGGTGGTCCCACAGCCGGGGGAAAGAGAGGGTCCTTCTGTGCACTCACGCATTCCCAGCTGGCACCAGAAGGCTGTCATCTGGGGCCAGGCTCAGATGCTGTTCCCCCATCGTCACCACAGAGGAGCCCTCCTGGGAAAGAGGAACAGGAGAGTAGGAATGAAGGCTGTTAGACCTCAACACCTGTCCAGGTGTCCCTGAATCTTGACAAGGAGGCCCTGGGAACCACATCAGGCTCTGGGAGTCCAAGGCCCAGGAGCAGCCTGGGCCCTGTGGGCAGGAGGACATGCCACCCTCTCCCAGGGGTCCCACTTGCCAACTGCCACAGCCACACATCCACGTCCTGTCCCGGGTGTTTGCTGCTGCCCTGTCCATGGACGATCACCTGGTAGGAAGTGACATACATCTTTCTGGTGCTTCAGCCCCACACTGGAGATGGCCTTGACCCTGGCGCCCAGACACCAGGCCCATAGCACCAGGCACAGCCTAATCTTCATGTGTAGATTGAATCAAGACCAGGACTTGGAGAGGAAAGCTGCCAGGCCACAGGCCTCCCTGCCACTCCCATGATGAGCAGTGCTGCCTGCCTGCCTTCTAGGACCACGCATGCCTGCCCTACACGCACATGCACATCGGATTGCTCTGCTCCCATCACTACAACTGCTGACCCGACCCATGTGAAGGCATGACTGCCAGGGGCACACTCAGGACACAGGCACTTGTGTGTGCATGGCTTAGTGTGGCCTCATGTATCACAGACACACATAGTTTCCCAAAGAGTGCCCACCTGCCTTCTTCCATGAGATTCTGGCCTGAGGAGGAGGAGGGAGATGAGAGGGGATGAGCCGCCTTGATCTGCATCAGCCTGGCAGTACTGTGTGGGCGGCGTTCCTGCTGGCCCAGAGTGGGACTCAGTAGGTATCTGTTTGCATAAACTGAAGCAGGTGGGAGCAGGTGTGTGCAAGAGGCAGACGGCAGGACCCCGAGGCCAGCTCGGGGCTGAATGCCATGGCTGTGAAGGGCTGGGAGGGGCTTTGTGGTGTGTACCCACTTTCACCACCCTGTGTAAGCTCAGGTGTCTACAGGCCAGGCCTTTCAGGGCAGGTGTGTACCCCATGAGCATCCCTCCGTGAGGGCGTCTCATTCAAACTGCAAGGGATGTGCAGTGGCAAATAGTAAAGTGCAAGCAAGCCCAGGAGAACCGTTGGAACCTGTCAGGACCTGGGCACTGCCTGCTACTCCTGCCATCCAGCAGTGGTGCCTGCTGCCCCCACTCCCCTGCCCTGGCTCCTGCCCACCTCAGCTACTTGCAGTGCCAGGCTATTTCAAGCTTCCATGCCTTTACTCATGCTTCTCTCTTACCTGGAATGTTCTCTCAGCCTCCTTTTCTTCCTTTTGCAAATCCCTATTATTTGCTTTAAAACGCAACTTATACATCACCTCCTCTAGGAAGTCTTCCCTGACTTCCCTCTCAGCCTCGGTTCCTCCTCTATTATCCTATGGCTTTCTGAAGCTTCTCTTACCAAATAACATGCCACATGATTGTGGTAATTGTTGATTAACTTGTCTATTTTTCAGACCATACACTCTTTGAGGCAGTGACTCTTATTTTCCTACCAAAGCCTGAAAGATACTAGGCATTCAATAAATGTTGAATGAAAGCAGGCCAACTTTGTATGGGTGGGTCTCTCTCTGTGCACCACTCTACCCAACCTTCACCCCAGGCACCTCTCTTCCTTCTGGTTCCCCAGGCTAAGATTGGCCAAAAGTTCAGGAATTCCTAGTAGAAGGATAACTCTAGACTCCCAGGAATTGGTCAGCGGATGGGGGAACCCCCTACTCTGAAGGCAAAGAAAGCCTGCTCGAGACCACATAGCCTCCACACATAGCAAAGCCATCACTTTCTGAGTCAGAGGAAACAGGAAGGCCTCTGCTGGTGACACAACCTCTGAAACTGTGTGTGTGTGTGTGTGCTCCTGCGTGTACGTGTGAGTGATTAGTTCCCATTTCTTAGGGCTGCTGGGTTGATGCCCAGGGTGGCCCAGGGCCTAATTACCTGTGTCTCATAGTTGTCCCCAAACAGGCTGAGGGGTGTGCCTGCCTGCAGCTGTCTGCGGTGGCCATCCAGCCAGGCTTCCAAGGACATGGGCTCCATGACAGATCGTGTGCTCAGGGGGAATGGTGGTTCCTTGAGCAGCTGGTCTGCACCCACAGCATAGGCTGAGTCAGTGGCCTCTGGCCCAGCCCACCCAGAGCCCCAGCAGACCCAAAGGGCCCAGTTCTGAATCACCAGGATGGGCTCTGGATCCAGCTCAAGCATCAAGCAGCCACGTGGGGGATGCTCTTTGGTATCATTATCTCATACCTTGAGTACTAGGCAGGGTACTCAAAAGGAGACTGGTACCTTGGGCCAAGACCCATGCTACTCTGGGAAAGCAGAGTAGAGGGAGGGGGAAAGGAGGTTTCCAGGGAGCTCACCAGGGATGGGTTTTCCTGTTTTGTGCTGCTCAGAGCTGAAGAACCTGCAGGGAGAGATAGGGAGGAGGACCAGTGGCCAGTGTTCCTGAATGAGTGGCCAGAGAAACACACAGGGACATGCACACTCATACACTCTTAGGTACAGGAGCCCACATACTCATGGGGCCCTACACAGCTCCATGTAGGTCCACCATCCCCCCCCCTCCAGCCCCATGGAGCAGTCCCCTGTCCTCTCACCCTAGGAGGGGCATGCTCCCCTCCCTCATCCCAGGCCCCAGTGTGGGTGGTACTGCCACAGAGCACTGCTGGGATGGGTCTGCCCCCCACCCAGCCAGGGCAGGGGGCATCAGAGAGCAAGCGGAGGGGCTGGACTGGGGGCTCACTCCTGGATGATGGGGGCCAGCTGTGTGCCAAGATCCTCACAGTAGAACCACTTCTCAAACAGGACATCCATGGTGTCTCCAACGTAGTACCTGCCAAAGCAAAGGACAGGCCACCCAGCTCCCCACCTGGGTAGCCTCAAGTGGAAGTCTGGACCCTGGCTAGCCCCACAGAGCTGGCTGCTTGCTTCACCCTGTTAGCATAAGCTAGTGGCCAATGCTTGCTCACCCCCACCTGGCTCTCCCAGAAGCACTGTAGGCCCCAAAGTAGGGGGGCTATTATCAACCCCATATGCATTCTGGTTCCCCAAACTTGATCATTTACAAAGTGGATAGAACTCTGAGGTTCAGAGAAGCTGGGTAACTTGGCAGGGATTCCACAGCTTGGAAGTCATGGGAGTAGGATAGACCCAAGACAGTCTTAGAAACACAGAAGTCAGTAATGATGGTCTTCGTTTCCCCAAAGAGGAAGCTGAAGCTGAGCCTGAATATAGGGTCTGTGGCTGGATGCTCCACCTGCCTGCTGGAGCTCTAGATCAGAGGGCAAGGAATCTTACAGAATCTTCATGCAGAAGATAGCCCCAGATGACAGATCCTGTTCCTTTAGGGGTCATGGGTGCCTTCAATAATTGGAGCAAAGTGCTAGGGCCTCGCCTCTGGATGAAAGCCCATGTGCATGTACACATAGCCTCCAGGAGACTCTCGGAAGCTCACCCAAGCCCCAGCCTGGCTCAGGGAGTTCCTCTGCTGGCAGATGGGGGCCATGCCTCAGGCCCCTGGGGTGTGCAGCACTACTGTTGACTGAACTTCAGCTCCCAGGGCCAGGCCCGCTTCATCTTTTTCAACTCCTCCCCTCAAAAAAGAAGTGGTCTTGCTAATGGGACATAGTTTACAGACATATAGCTCATGTTAAGTTCTATCCAGGGATGGAGCTGGCCGCCAGAAAGCTTGCCTTCAGAGTGGCATTTTAATGCTGAGTCCCTGGCTTTTATTGAAGGTCAAAAGCAGCCAGGGACTCCTAGCTGGCTGTCACTGGAGTGTGTGACTCTTGATCTCTGGGTTGTGGGTTCAAGCCCCACACTGCATGTAGAGATCACTTAAAAATAAAGTCTTAAAAAAAAAAAAAAGGTCAAAAGCAGCTAGTGAAATTCATTATTGAATTTGCTGTAAAAATGTTACTGAGGACAGGGGTGGAGCCTGGGTGGCTCAGTCAGTTGAGCAACTGACTCTTGATTTTGGCTCAGGTCGTGATCTCGGGGTTGAGATCAAGCCCTGCATTTGGCTCTGTACTCAGCGTGGACTCTGTTTCTCTCTTCCCTTCCCTCTGCCTCTCTCCCCCACTTGTACGTGTGCACACTCTCTCTCTATTAAGAAATGAATGAATGGATGAATGAATGATAATAAATATCTTTTTAAAAAATGTTATTGAGGATAGTGTCCACTCTGTCACTAAAGAGTCCTTTCATAAAGCCCCATGTGAAAGATTTCTTTTGGAATTGGGCACCAGACATCTGTTTCTACAACAGTAGGTTAGTTTACCATGGTGTTTTTGAAAAGCACTGAATTGTATAAGAAATCCTCATGAGTTTTTTAAGGAAAAAAAAAAAAAAGCAAAATTCAACCCTGTGCTTGCTAACACTGCAGTGCTGCAAGATATGGATAGAAAAGAGGCAAGGGATCCTTGGGTGGTGCAGCGGTTTAGTGCCTGCCTTTGGCCGAGGGCGCAATCCTGGAGACCCAGGATCGAATCCCACATTGGGCTCCCGGTGCATGGAGCCTGCTTCTCCCTCTGCCTGTGTCTCTGCCTCTCTCTCTCTCTCTGTGTGTGTGACTATCATAAATAAATAATTTTTTTTAATAAATAAAAATTAAAAAAAAAAAAGAAAAGAAAAGAGGCAAGATGGAGGTTAACAGCTTTGTTAGGTTGAACTGGTAAGATGACAGGGTTTTTTGTTTGTTTGTTTACCCTTTATTATTGTTCATTTTGTTTTATTGAGATATCATTCACCTTCCACAGCATTGTCCCTCTTCCTAACAGTTTTAACCTTGTTTATTTGCTTTCTTTTACTTTTCCTGATTTCAAGATGGAATGTGCATGGCTTTGGTGATTAGAAAGAAGGCAAGTGTTAAAAAATATCCATCATAACGGGAGATCGGGGGCAAAGGATTCTGATCTCAGGAACTTGGCGAGAAATTTTAATTTTCTTAATTTTAAAAAAATACAAAAAATAGTTTAGCTTTTGGGAAAATCCGTGTCCCTTGGAGCCACAGGCTGCATCAGATAATAAGTGGGTGACTGATTGGAACCCACTGGGAACTCAGCCCTGGAAAGAGTGCCCCTGCTAACCCACACTGATGCTCACCCACACTCCTATCTAGATTGTCCTGACCCTGACTCCCCATTTCCCTACAATGCTGCTTTCTAGCAAACTCAACATCTCTGTGCCCAGTTTTCCTATCTGTAGAGATGACAGCAGTGCCTGCCCCTCAGGATCCCTGTGTGGGTTAGATGGATAGATGCACTGGAAGCATCTACCTGGTACCCTAGCCAGTGTCATACTCATGTTAGTGTTGTATGTGGAAAGATCTGGGTTAGAGGAACAAGTTGAGGGCCTCCTGGCAGAGACTGAATAAGCCCTGGGGTCAGAGGCTGGGAAGAGCTGCAGGGTTCCCGGCTGCCCAGGCCAGGGGGGTCTGACTTTGGCGCTCCTCCACCACAACTCCCTGCAGACCTCGGTGCAGGAAGCCCAGGTTCTGGTCCCAGCCAGAAGGCCTTCAGGCTGAGTGGGCTTCTAGGGAGTCACAGAGGACATGCCTCCTGACCGCCGTCATCAAATCCATGCCACCGCTGCCCCTAACCGTCCCCGTTAGCCGGCAACCACGGGATGTGCACGGCCTCCCACCCTGTCCATGGCCACCCAGTGCTTCCTTGGGTCTATCTGGGGCCTACTGCTTGCCCCTGTCTCTGCCCCAGGCCCCCCAGACAAGGCACGTTTACCTGAGCCCATCCAGCTCCGTTTCCAGCCGCCTGCGTTCAATGACCAGTCCCACGGTGTCAGCAAACCTCTGTGGAGAGTGGGGTACACCAGCCGGCAGGAGGAATATCTGCAGGGGTGGGGACAGGGCTGCGACCCCCTCCAGACACCTTGGTGCCCGCAGCGTCCTGGCCTCCCCGGCCCACCCCGGGGTCCAGCAGCCCAGCCCGCCTCTCTGCTGGCCTCGAGCCCAGAGCCGGAGGGGACACCAGGGTGCCAGGATGGCCAGTTCACAGGAGGACACAGTCCACACAAAGCCAGCGCGAGTGGACAGCAGGTCCCCACTCCCGGGTCCTTCACCTCCCAGCAGGAGGCCCGGCCTCACCTCCCCCTGCCGAATGGTCACGTCCCGGTGTTGCCCGCGCTCCAGGACTCGGAGAACCATGTCGCCCTTGAGCTGGTAAAACACCTGGGGGACAGGACACCGGGACAGGCTCAGGCCCTGCGCCCTCTCTCTCCCTCTTCCATGTCCTGGGCCTGAATTCTGACCCCGAAACCGAGAAACTTCCCGAAGGCCTTTATGAGCACTTCTGTCACTCGGGCTCTGAGACCCCAGCCTCCCCTGTCACATGCTACAGGCTGGAGTGCTGGGGACACACAGGATCACATCTTGACACGCGAGTGATGACCGGAGTACCCAGGACATAACGCTTGGTACCTGGTGAGGGGGCAGGAGGCTGGCTGAGATGCCCGCTGGGAAATTCAGCCAGGCCCTCCGTCAGGTAGGGAGAAACGCCCCTGGGTCCCAGGGGCTGGGGAGCACCCTCCTCTACATTATCGGAAAGCTTAGCAACAGCCTCTAAAGGTATTATGAGCCCCGTTCTGTAGAAAATTAACAAACAAACAAAAACCCCACCGAGGCTCAGAGTAAAACAACTTGTCCAAGGTCACACAGTTAGTCCTGGAGCTGCACTTGGGACTGGAGTCTGGTGTAGCTCAGGAGCGTGTGCTGGCTCCTCTGGCCACCGGGAAGCCCTGGCCGGGGCAGGGCGGGGTCTGTCCAAATACCTTTGGAGGTGGGCTGCGTCAACGGTGGCCAGCTGACCCTGGGAGCGGGCTGGGTGGGGACCGCGGGGCCGGCAGTGCTGGCCTCCTGCTCTCTCCCTGGGGATCCCCATATGTTTTTGCTATTCCATCCTAAATTCCTAAATAAGGAAGTTGAGTGTTTACTGAGATCACCCCACGGCACTGCCAGGAGGCAGACACACCATCTCTCCACCAGTCACACACCGCATGGGTGTTCCAAGCTCCAGCCAAATAGCTGAAGGGGTGTTATTAATAATAATCATTATTATTAACCTCTAAGGAGTTAGAGGTTCTTGTCACAGTTACCTACTAGGAGAAATCAAGCCAAGCTCCGGGAAACTAGAGAAATGTGGCTTTACGGTCTGCCACAAGGGGCAAGCTGACACAACCCCTGTGAAGGGCAATGTCGCAACTGGCAGGAAGAACTTCCTGTGCTCCCACCCCGTGGGGTGGCCTGAGGGGCTTCTAGGGAGGCAGGCCCGTCAGTGCTGAAACCAGGCAAGTCCAGGGCAAACCGGGACAACTGGCCACCTTGCACTCTTGACCTTGCGTTTCTATCTCTGGGAAGGCGGCTGCAGCGAACCAGAGATGCACCTGCCTCCTGGAGTGGAGGCATATGTGGCTGTTTGATCTCAGTGCATCATAGCTAAATGCACAGACCGCAGGGTCGCCTGGCCCTCAGCTCAGCCAGGACCCCATGTACCCCTGGTCAATTCAGTTAGTCTTTCTGTGCCTCCAATTCCTCCCCTATAAAATGACAGTATCTACTTAGAATGTTGCTGTGATGTCAGCCTGGGACATTGAGCAGCGTGTACCTGGCACATAGCACTCAATAAATCTCTAGCTATTAATATTAGCGATGGCAGGAGTAGCAACAGTAATGCTAACAATAGAGGAAATGCCACTATTTTATGATTGAGTCCAAATGCAGAACATTAGGTAGCTATTAAAACTACATTTTTGAGTGACTTAATAAAATGGAAAAATGGGAAATGCTAAATTCATGTTAAAGCAAGATTCAAAACCATGACCCCGCAGGATTCTAATTATGCAGGGATACGTGTACAAATGCGGACAGTGTTCACAGTGGGTCTCCTGAGTGTTGGTATTATGAATACAATGTCTTTTCTATTATGAATACATTTGTTTTTTCTTTATTTTCATGTTTTCTACAATAGACAATATTTACTTTTATTAAAAAAAAAAAAAACCCAGGCAAGTTATTTAAAACAAATGAAAAAACCTATTATGCTCTCTTAGGGAGCAATTCTGTGATAATCATGCTCCACCCCACTAGTTGGGAGAAAGCCATCTGTGCTGGGGGGCAGGGAGGAGGTCCTTCCATGGATGAAGGGAAAGGGCCTAGAGAGTTCTAAGGAGAGGACCATAGACCTCTCCATAGACCATTGTAAGCCCTGCAAATATCAGGGACAGCTGGGATGAAAGTGGGATCTGGAGTGATGGTGTGGGCCAGATGCAAGCCCTTTCTAGGCAGGCTGCAAGGTGTCAGTAGCCCTCAAGAAAAAAAAAAAAAACACAGACAGGAAGTGGTGCCTTGCCTCTCTGCCCAGAGGCATTTCCTATGATGAGGGACAGGCCCAGCCTGAGCAGAGGTGCGTTTCCTGAACAGCAGAGCATTCCCAACAGTCATGGGCCAACCAAAAGGAATTATGTTCCATTTGGGAGTAAATGATGTTTGGGGCCTGGGGCTGGTTGGAAGACTCACCAAACCAGCTCAGGCGGATGTTAAATGGAATCTGGCCTCCAAGGCCTTGCACACAGGGTCCAGAGAGTCAGTGTGTATGAAGCACTCTGACTGCCCCAGGCCCCAGGCCCAGTGCATATGCTTACTCGGTGCATGTTGAATCCTTCTACCAGGCAGAGGCCAGTGTCCCCATGCGCTGCAAGGAAACAGGCTCAGAGAGGTGGCATGATGTGACCTGCCTGAGATCACATGGCAGGAAGAGGTCGAGCCTTCAGCCCAGGTCTGGTGGACTCCCTGCCCAGGTCCCCTTGTATCTGTGCACCCCAAGAGAAGGAGGTAAATGGGGTATGTGTGGTGGGTGAAGCTGGGGAACCTGGAGGGCTGTTGTAGAAGCTTGAGTTCAACAAGGAGGAAAATCTGAGTCAGTGATGCCTTTTGTCTCCCCAGGGGTGGCCTGGACAGCTATTGCACAGCCCGGGACCGGTAGACACAGAGAGGATCCTGACCCTCAGCTCTGCAGCCTCCCAGGGCCTGTGGCTGGTACTCTCTCCGACCTCAGGATGAAAACAAGCCATCACACACCCACTTCTAGCTAAATTCCTCCCAGCCACCTGGGTGTCTCTCCTGAGAGGGGCCACCCACTCAGGCCAGCCCTCATCTGTCAGCCACTCAGCTGAGCCACTGTTTGGCTTGGGCCCCTCAGTGGACATCCATCCACACCACCAGAGCAGCTGGGGGAGACCCTACAGGGGGGCATTGGGCAGAGGTGGTAGGGACCAAGGGAAGGCAAGAGGGGATGAGATGAGAAAGGTGGGCACTGATACCAGGGCTAACAGAGCAGAAGCCTCTGGAAGGCAAGTTGAGAGGCCTCAGGCTAATGGAGGCAAGCAGAGAAACTTTGCAACCAGCCTTGTCTACACGTGGCACTGTGGCCATTCCCAATCCAACCCTGTCTTCTGTCCACAGCTTTGGATTTTCCTGCTGATTTTTTGCCACAGAGGGAAACGGTCTCCTGTGAGTTGTGGCAAGAAGCAGGTGTCTGGGAGGCAGCTCCCTGCTGGCCCAGGGTCCTCACTAACCCTGCCCACCGCCCCCATCACTAGGTGCTCTGTAAATATTTGTTGAGTGAGTGATTCTCCTGTGCTCCCTCCAGTCCCTGGCTGTGTCTGAGAGGCCAGGGATTGGGGGTGGAGGCTGGTGACCAAACTGGACTCTGGACCTTGAACCCCTGCGTCAGGGCCCCCTGAAGATGGGTGTCAGTACCCTACTGATCTTTTGTCACCAGAGATCCTGAAAGCTGGAAACCCACCTGTGTCCCTCCTTCTAGGGGTCTTTTTCTTTTAATTTTACTTTTGTTTATTTGCCTTGGGGTAGGTAGATGGTACAGAAACACAGTTCACAATTCAAGGTACAAAAGGGTATTTAGCACAAATTCCCCCCACTCATCCTACTCCTCTGTCAAATAGTGTCTTGGGTCCTCTAGATACCGAGGGGGCCTCCCAGCCCCAACCCTTTCCAGAGAACTCATCTCCAGGTCCCTGTCAGTATTTGGGTCTCATTTTGGAGGCTAATCTTACATGTTCAGATTTGAGGAGGAGGGGACGAGGGCACCTCATCTGGCACATGGATGGCCAGGGGGCGAAGCCCAGCAGCGAGACCCTCCCTTTCAGACCTATAGAGCCAGGGCTCTTTCCTGGGGCTCCCCCAGCAGCGCTAGAGGGCGGAGCTGTCACTGTACGCCCACAACTTCCAGGCAGCAGTTCTGCCCTGGGATTTCAGTGGTGTCCCTTCACCCATCAGCCATCGGACCACCCCCTCTCCTGTCCACAGGCTCCAGTTCTTGCTTGGCAAGTGTCCCCTCCCCCAGGGCTCTTAAAGAAGTGGGAGGTACCAGGCTTACCTCCTCACCCTCCTCAATGTGGTAGTCCTTCCTGATGTTGGGACCTCCAATGAACATGATTTTGAGCTGCTTCTGGTGCCTACAATGAATGAGGGGGAAGAGGTCCCGAAGCGGCTCAGGGGACAGGACAGGAGGTGTCCAGGGGCCTGTGGGTGGCCTGGAAGGAAGCTGGGTACCCCTGGGAGAGGTGACAGGGCTGTTTCTGTCTTATTGTCCCTATAGGCTCTGACATTTGTCCGCCCCCCCCCATCTCAGTATAGTTGTGCGGATCTAAGACTCTGTGTGTGTGCGCGTGTGTGTGAGAGAGACTGTATGTATACCTGTGTCTTTCTGCATCTTGTCTCACTGTATTTGTGTGTGTGTCCCCCAATATCCTCTAACCTAGTACAGGGGAGCAGTGCGGTGGTGGATCAACCCCTTCATCAGCCAGGATCCCTGGCCTCGTTCAAGATCTCTAATTACAGGCCAAGGAGTTCGATCTTGACCTAAAGTGTGCCAGGGAGCCTAGGAAAGTTTTTATTGTTTTGTTTTATTTAAGTAATCTCTACACCCAATGTGGGGCTCGAACTCATGACCCCGAGATCAAGAGTTGCATGCGCTTTCAACTGAGCCAGCCAGGTGCCTGCCTCAGAAATTCTTTTTTTTAAGTCAACTTTACTGGGATATAATTTAGGCACGTACGGAAAGTTCTGGAATGACCCCACTCAATATCTATTTCAGCCAATCATCTAGAGTACCTCAGCCAGATTCTGTCCCTCCTCTGCTCAAACCGCTCCCCAGCAGTCTCATATGACTCCCCCAACCCCAAATTCATCTGTTGAAGTCCTATGCCCAGGACCTTAGAATGTGACCTTATTTGGAAATAGAATCACTGCAGGTTTAACTGGTGAAGCCACAGTGAGGTCACACTGGAACTGGCTAGGCCTCTAGTCCTTATCGAAAGGGGAAATTTAGACACAGACACACTGACAGGGAGAGTGCCCTGTGAAGATGAGGATGGAGATCGGGGTGCTGCAGCAGAGGCCAAGGATGGCCAAGATTGCCACCAAGCCACCAGGAGCCAGGAGAGGCCTGGGGCAGACTCTCCCTGACAGCCCTAGCCAACCTGGTGTGTGTGTGGGGGGGCATGGCTCTGTTCCACCTGGTGGCCCATTGTGCCTGCCTGCCTCCACCCCTTGTCTGCCTCCTCTCACCCGAACTTCAGTGCTACAAGGAAGTGACTGTCAGTTTGTTTTCTACTGCGTCTCCAGTGTCCAGAACAGTGCCTGGCAAGTACTGCGCTCAGGGAACACGTGCTGAACGAATAAAGGCTGGGCCTGCATTTTGTGCCGGTTAATACTGGGGCTGGGCTGGAGGTCTGGGGCGGGGGGGCCTGGAGGCAGGGGCAACACCCAGGGTGAAGGTGACAAGGGTGGAACCAGAGTGGCATCCGGAGGGCTAGAGAGGAGCAAGGGGCGCGAGACTCGGTTGGGGCAGCGTGGGGGACCGAGGCTGCACAGGGATGAAGTGGAGGAAAGGGGTGAGGGCCCCAACAGTGGTAGAGGTCGCAAGGCCCCGGGGTGGGAGGGGACGCTGGCTGTGAGCCGATGATAGTGCTGCGCTGAGAGGGAGAGTTTGGACTTCGGAGTCAAGTTCTTCTAGGGGCTGGAATCTGGACCCGGCCCCTACTAGCTGAGGGACACTGGGGGAGTCACCTATTAGAATCCCACCTCACGGAGCTGGTGTGAGGACTAGGTGAGTGGGTATAAGAGCACCCGGCATGGCCTCTGTTTTGCCAAGGTGTGCAAATGCTGCTGTGTGGTTTGGGGTGCCACACCATTGGGAATGTTCGGCAGACAGGGCAGTGTGAGCCTGGAGCTGGGGAGCACACCAGGCCGGCCACAGGTGTGAGGGCAGGGGAGGGGGGTGAAGCGGCCACGGGGAAGGTCTGCTGGAGAAAGACCGCAGCTGAGCACCACCTGCCCTGCTGGGTGCTGTGGGCCGGGGTGACTCCCGCGCCTCCAGAGACAGGCCCGGGGAGAGCATGGGATGCAGATTCTCCCACAGGAGCTGATCCTCTGACTTCACCCTCTGCCCGCAGGTTCTAGGGCAGTTCTGAGGCAATGGAAAAACCACCCTCCCCAAACTTCTGAGAGTCCCTGGGGGGTTGCAGAGCTATTTCTGAGCCCTGGGGACAGGGGCGGTGGCCTGCCATCTGCATCTCATCTACTCCCAGTCACCCAGCCATCATCGGAAGTCAAGGTCACAATCCCCAGGGCAGAGTCATCCGAAAGAGGAACAGATGAAGGTGGTGGAACCGGAACGGCCTGCCCTCCCCCTCCCCCGAAGGCACGAGAGGATGGCCGGCCCTTTCTGCGGGCTTGGGGGGCTGGAGGGTGAGGGCTGAGGGGTGCAGATGGAGGAGGGAGGGGTGGGCAGAGGGCCGGGGCGGCCGGCGTGCCTGGGACTCACAGGAGCTTGTTGCAGACCGGGGGCAGGAAGGAGGCCCGGTTCTCCTCCACCCAAGTCGTCACCCTCACGGGACGCGCCATGGCAGCCCGGGAGCCGCGGCCGCAGCCGGGTGCCCAGGCGGGTGTCGCAGGGGTGCGCTCCGCCCAGCCGCCCACTAGCCGCGGGGCCGATCGGCCGCCCGGGGGCCAAAGGGCGGGGCGACTCCCGCTCCCCGGCCGCCCCCGTGACCTCGCGGGGGCCCTTCCCGGACTTCGGCCCCGGCCCGCCCACCCCGCGCCCCCGCGCCCCCCCGGGGCCCCTGCCCAGCCTGGCGGCCTCCGCGCGAAGGAAGCTTCGCTCCCTGCTTCCCGCCGGGCGGGGCTCCCTGGGTCGCGGTCGTGCGCGGGCCCCTGTCCGCAGGCTTGGCGCCCGGACCCCGCGGGGGCCCCGAAGTCAAGACTGTGACGGGAGGAAGGCGGGTTGGAGCCCCGGCGGCCGGGATGGAAGCCTCGGCGTCCCCGCCCGAGAGCCCGGGACGTCTGCGCAGCCAGCGGGGGTTGCACAGCGGCCCCCACGGCCCCCACGGCCCCGACGGTGGCAGCCCCGTGCGCCCGCCAGGACGCCGGTCGGGCCAGAGGCCCCGGGTCTGGGGAGAGCCGCTGCCGGGAAGGCCCGGGACGGGACGGGACGGGACGGGACGGGGCGCGCCGCGGGACCCGCCACCCTCGCCGCTTCCCGGTGGCGCCCAGCACCCACGCGGCGCCCGCGCTGTCCGAGCTCGGGCGGGTCCTAGGACGCGCCCACGTCGCAGGGCAACTCGGCGCGGGTCTCACGGGTGCAGAACCTCGGGGTGCGGGGTGGGGCGGGCGGACAAGCCTGCGCCCGCGATCGCAGCCCCGTGACCCAGCCCCTGCCCTCGGGGGCGCGCTGTGAGGTCGGAGGCCCGGAGGAGCGGGAGGGTGCGGAGGCGGCGAAGACGGCCGGACGCCTGCTTTCCTCGCAGGCTCCCGGGCTCAGGATTCTTAGGGGAAAGGTGCGCGTGTGTTGCAGGCGGGTGGGGTGGGGAGAAGGAAGGCGGCCGGGCTCGGACGCCGGAATCCAGGCGACGCCTCGCGCTGCAGCCCTGCGGCCCCCCTGCCCGCGCCCCGCCCCGCCCCTCCGACGCCTCCTGCGCGAACCCGCGCCCGGCCGGAGAGGAGAGGACCGCCACCCACCTGGGCTGGGAGGACCCTGCAGTCGCCTCTCCACGCCCACGCCTTTCCCTCTTTGTCCGCCTTTCCATCTTCTTTTCAGTTATTTATTTAGAGCTTTTTTTTTTTTTCCTGAGCATTTCTTTCTCAAAAATATTGCATATTGTTCGGCACCAAAACAACTCAAACGGTATTCTTGGTCTGTCCCCTGTAAGTAAGCCAGAGGAGACGTAAACAGTGACTCCTGAAGCAACAAGGACCCATGCATGATAGGTGAGGTTTGTTTTGGATGTTTGTTAACTGGATGCTTGGATAGTGGGTGGATAAAGGCATGAACAAATTCCCACCTAAAGAGAAAAATTCTTAGCTGAACAGATGTTCTGTTACATAGTACAAAGGAAGGGATAGGGATCCCTGGGTGGCGCAGCGGTTTGGCGCCTGCCTTTGGCCCAGGGCGTGATCCTGGAGACCCGGGATCGAATCCCACGTCGGGCTCCCGGTGCATGGAGCCTGCTTCTCCCTCTGCCTATGTCTCTGCCTCTCTCTCTCTATCTCTGTGACTATCATAAAAAAAAAAAAAAAAAGGAAGGGATAGTTACCCTGCATTTTAATTTATGAAGTCAAATAAGGTGAGTAATTGAGGCCACAAGTTGGGGTCTGAATGATCCAGATGAACCCTAAACCCAGGCTAAATAATCTGCTGTATGGTCACTGTCAAATATGCTCTCTGGCTTGTACTGTATAGATAAAATATCACATCTGTTCAATTGGCAGTCTTCCTATTCAATTTGAGTGTCTGGCACCATTTATTCGACTCCAGTGTTCAGGAAAATGTTACAGCATGGTCTAGTCACAGCTGGCTGGAATCCTCCTACCTGTCGATCTGTGGACTCTTTCTAGTTTCTAGACCTTACCCCCTTGCAGTAGCCACCTCTCCCCTCTCACAGGAGCTCATTTGCACTGTGGAATCAGAAGCAAACAGGATCTGCTGTAGGATCAGAGCTTGTTAGAACGTGTCCTACCTGCTGGTGCCTTGCTCTGGTCTCCCCTGGATGGCAATAACTCCCCTTCCAAATCACTGAGTTCAGTAGATGCTTCTAGGCTTTGGTGAACCTGGCTGGTGATAACTGTCAAACCCCTACAACCTTTCAGATGGACAGAACCAGTTGCTCCGGCCAATTCCTTTCCCTGAGCTTCTGGGTCTGTCTTTGCCTCTCTGACTTTTATGTAATGCAGCAAATATTTAAAAACAGAGAGCTTTATATGAATGCAAGGGCTAGATTATGAGCTGTATGGGTTACTTGGAAATCTGTGCTCTGGGCCTCCTATCCCTTGAGTTATTTACAAGTCTGTTTTGAAACTTCTAGGCGTATGGTTGGTTTATTTTTGCTGTTGGTTTTTTGTTGTTATTTGGCTATCATTTTGGCTTTTTTTAAAAAAAGATTTTATTTATCATTAGAGAGAGAACATGAAAGAGAAAGAGAGAGAGAACAAACAAGGAGAGCAAGGAGGGAGATGCAGGCTTCCCACTGAGCCGGGAGCCTGATCTGGGCTCCATCCCAGGACCCTGGGATCCTGACCTGAGCTGAAGTCAAGATGCTTGACTGAGCCACCCAGCTGCCCTACTATTTTGTTTTTCGTTTCTAATTTTATCGCACTGTGGTGAATGAAGATGGCCTGGGTATTATTTTGGGGTGGATGGATGTGTTAATATTTCCTTTGCAGCTTAGCCTACGGTCAACTTTGTGAATGTGTATTCTTCTCCTAGAATGCAGTTCTAAATGTTTCTGTTAGGTTAACCTGCTGTGTCACCCAAATAATCATTATCCTTATTTTTATTTTCTTATTATTATTATTTTTTTTTATTTAAGTCTTTAGGTTTATTTAAATAACCTCCAGTGAGAGCTGAGCAGGCCAATTACTACCCCTTCCTCATAATACTCATTAACCAAGACAGAGTAAGCATACCCTGCAGCCAGCCTGCCAGCCACTCTTGTGAGGGATTCTTATTATTTTTTTATGAGAGAGAGTGAGTGGGGTGGCAGTGGTAGAGGGAAAGAGAGAGAGAGAGAATCTTAAGCAGGCTCCATGCCCGGCACAAAGCCGAACACAGGCTCAATCTCATGACCCTAAGATCATGACCTGAGCCCCAATCAATTTCTCCCTATTCTTTGAGCAGATTTTACTTTACATATTTTGAATCTGTGTTGTTAGATGTAAAAATCCTCATGACTATTTTCCTTCTTGTTGTAGTGTTTCTTGATCAATATGAACGATTTCCTCTTAGTTTCTTTTCACCTTGACTTCAACTTTGTCTGATATTAATATTGCTATACCTTTGTGTGCTTGTGTAGTTTCCAGGTATTGGAAGTTGATCAAAAAGATGCCACAAGGCTCCTGGCTGGCTCAGTCAGTGGAGCGTGTGACTCTTGATCTCAGGGTTGTGAGTTTGAGCTCTGAGTTGGGTATAGAGATTACTTAAAAATAAAGTCTAAAAAAAAAAAAAAAAAGATGCCACAATAACTTCTTCCCTTCTCGAATCCATACGCCTTGCAGTATGACTTTGTCACTCCTCAAAGGTGAGTGTGTTTCTGCACCCATGGCATGTAGCTGGAGTTTAAAAATCTCTAGTCTGAGAGCCTCTGTTATTTAAAAGGTGATCAACTCTTTTATGTTTGTGTAATTATTGCTATTTTTTTTACATACTCTTGACATTTTATTTTCTGTTTTCTAATTGCCATGCTGTGTTAGTTTCTTATTGTTGCTAAAACAAATTACTACAAACCTAGAGGAGCTTACAATGACACACATTTATTATCTTACAGTTCTGTACGTCAGAAGTCTGAATGGGTATTGTGAGCTAAAATCAGAGTATTGTCAGAGCTGTGGGTTTTTTCCTGGGGATTTGAGGAGAGAACCCGTTTTCCTTGCCTTTCACAGCTTCTAGAACCCTTCCTCCATTGTGCAATGCCCTTCCTCTATTGCTAAAGGGCATCACTCCACCCTCTGCTCCCTTTGTCACACCACTTTCCTTGTGACTCTCCTGCCTTCCTCTTTCCCTTTAAGAACCTTTGTGATTCCATTGGACCCACTCAGATAACTCAGGATAGTCCCTTCATCTCTAATGACTTAGTATAATCACACCTGCACAAGGCCCTTTCATCAAGTAAGGCAACATAGTCACAGGTTCTGGGGATTAGGATGTGGCGGTCTTTGGTAGGGGGAATGGATGAGAGGATGGGGTGTTATTCTGTCTACACACATGCCTCCTCCTTGTTTTTTCTCTTCTTTCTTTCCTAGTTTATCAGGATGCTGTGGGTAACAGAAACCCCAGTTAAACAGCAGCATAACCAATGGAAAGTTAAACACTTGTGTAACTGGATTCCCAGTGGGAGAATGAGCCTGTGACCAGCAGTGTCATCATGGACCTTGCTTCTTTCCATCTCTCAGATCTGCTATTTGCAGCATCAGCTTTATCTCAAGGCTGCTTCTTTGAGAGGTCAAGGGTTGTAAAGTGTCCATAGGTTTTCCTTTCGGCCGGGACTTCCTGACCTTGGCACCGTTGACATTTTGGGCTGAATAATTTTTGTAGGGGGCTGTTCTTTTGCATTGTAGGATGTTTAGCACACCCATGGTTTCTCTCCCCTAGATGCCAGAGTTCTTCTCCAGTCGGGACAACCAAAAATGTCTCTAGACATTGCCCAATGTCTCTGGGGGTCAAAATTGCCCCCAGGCGAGAACCATGTATGCTTACTGGCAATCTGAGGCTCACATGACCATACTTGAACTAGTTATTGGGGCAAAGGGAGTGGGCTACTCTGATTTAGTCAAATTAAGATTTGTACTTGAAGCTGCTGGTGGAGTTGGCTTCCCTCCAAGTCTGTGGCCAGGGGAAGGGGTGGGATCCTTACACAAAATTCAGATCGGAGGTAGGAAATAATTCTTGGGAGGTAGTCATGTCCATGACACCCGGCTTTTTTTTTTTTTAATTTTTTTTTTTTTAATTTATGATAGTCACAGAGAGAGAGAGAGACATAGGCAGAGGGAGAAGCAGGCTCCATGCACCGGGAGCCCGATATGGGATTCGATCCCAGGTTTCCAGGATCGTGCCCTGGGCCAAAGGCAGGCGCCAAACTGCTGCGCCACCCAGGGATCCCCGACACCCGGCTTTTGATTACATTTTCTTTCATCGATTTTTCCTTTGACACCCTATTCCTATATATCTGGGGGTTATTCTTTAAATACACGCATTTATCTAAATTTGTAGATTTCTAATAATATGTATTGTTAAATAGCATCTATATCCCCCGCCCCCCAGAACCTAAGGCAAGAACAAAGAAATCTGGGCAAGTTTTAACTTCCTTCTGGAATTCCCTACTGGCAACTTCCATGTTGATTTTGTTTAGATTATAATTTAAAAATTTTATACAGGCAATACTTAGATGTTAATATGTTAATATGTTTTCATAACCTATTAACTTGCGATTGCTTTTTATAGTCCAAACATTTTTGGGGAATTATTCTTTGTGTGTTTGTGTGTGTCTGTGTGTCTTTCTTCAGATCTGGGAAATTCTTGGCTTTTATAAAATTGTTTCTCATCTGTTCTATTATCAACTTGTTCAAAAAAATTTTTGATGAATGCTAGAATTTTTAGATCTTATCTGCATGTCGTTGAACTTTTCTTTCTTTTCCTCATTTCCCTTTGTCCTGCATTGTGGGAATATTCTTTTGCCTAGTCTTTCAGTTTACTGTTTTTCTATTCAGTTAAA